GTTACAGCTCACGTGGGCCTTCGTTGTCACTAAGTTCTTCTCCTTTGCTTGAAACCATGTTGCTAATAGTCTGACCACATTCTGCTTCCAGCTGCCAATGTGGTTTTGTCTCAGAGCAACTAACAGCTTCTCTGCAGGGGCAGTCAGTGGCAGCTAACTAAAGTCAGAGAGTTGAGTCGTGTATAGTGAGCAGCACTAGTCTAGTCCAATTTATGGCTGGGGCACATTGGAAGTTGCAGAGGAACAGTAGCCATGTAGTAGAGTCCCAGATGACATGTTAGACCTTTTCATTGAAGGAAGAAAGAATGGATCAGCAACCAGTTATGCAAATAATTTGTGCAAAATGTAGAAACCTGTACATAGTTCATCAATTACCTGTATAGTGGCTGCTGAATTTTTATCAGCTTCTCCAGAGCATTTGTAAGAAACGTTATGCTTTGTGGGTCAGGACCTTTAATGGATACTGTGATTTGCATTCTAAAACCTGGTGCTGTCAGAAGTTATCATAATAGTTGTGTGCATTTTCTAAGATCAGGACTGTTCAAGAAATACAAAAAAGTATATTATCAAACCACAGTGTTGTTTCAATACCAATATTGCATAAAGGAGTATTCGCAACACCTAGGAGCTGTCTAGATTTTTTGCTCCATAACTCATAGGAGCCAATTGTTTCACCTTTATTTGGTTTAAAGCTTGTAGGTAAATTGAAAGGCAATTAGTTGCAATGGATTACAGTGCTTAGCAGTTTGCTTATTAAAGTGGTTGTAAACCCTTACATATACCCAGTGAAGTGACTGAGCTCAGGTGATATGCAGAGATGAAACACATCCTCCTACATAAGTTGCACCTGTTTATCTAAGCCATTACCTCTCTACAACTCTTCAGAGTCCAGAATTTATATAGCTTGTCTGAGCTTTCAGAAAGCAGGGGTGGGAGGCTGAAGAGACTCTCCTCCCTGATCCACAAACCCCTTCTCACAAAGCTGGGACTGTCAGTTGCAGGCTGCGAGCTGTCAGAAGTGACTTGTGTTGATAGCAAAGGAACAAGGCAGGGGACAGAAATAACACTCAGTGCTCTGGATTGGAACAAGTACAAACTATAGAGGGATGTGCTTTGTTCATATTTCATGTCAGAGGTTTACAACGACTGACGTGAAAGTACATGCAGTTTCATCTGTTCCAACTGACAGAACAGTATATATGACACAGATTGTAAGCTGTTGGTACACAAATATAAAATTGCATAGATTGAGGGTGCTTATGCCACTTTTTCATTTGTATTTTGTTAAAGCAGTCCTCCCAGCACAGTCGATTTTTCTAACTGATGCACTTGTTTTTTTTTGTTTTTTTTTTTTTCTTTTCAGATTGATCTTTTCCTGGCCAAGAGCTTGGCAGAGAAGCTGTACTTATTCCAGGTACTGTGTTAAAGTATAACTAAAGGCAAAACTTTTTTAGTTTTGGATATAGTGAGAGGGAATAGAACTCCTGTTAGTTTATATTGCTGTCTCTGTCCCCATTAGGGAGATTCACTCTCTCTAATTGTCCTGTTTAACATTATCATTGAAAGTAAAGAAAATCCCAACTTTTTGGGTTGTCCCCAGAAAGGTAATAGAGGGGAAATCTTCCAATGAAGACACTAGTTCTGGTGACCAAGGAATTCCTTTAATTTGCATGGATTTCCTCTCGCTTCTTGTTTGGCTGTAGGAGAGGAAGTGAAGGGAAATCTTAACAATGGGACATAGATGATGAAATAAAATCTAAAAGGGGTTATAAACCTCCCTTGCTCTATCCAAAAAAAATGGTTTTGCCTATATTTTTACTTTAAAATTGTCCTTTAAATTCTAAATTACTTTTGTTATTTTACCATACACAGATTACATCTTCTTTTTCTGTCTCAGGAAAGTTGACTGGGATTCTAAATGTTACATATTTTTTATATTTGTTGATTGCAGCTGATTCGTTTATGAGAAAGAATGTTCATGAAATAATTTATGTTCCCTGACATTTGTCCATCTCTTCCAGAAACCTGTTCTGCAAACTGTCCTACTCTGCTCTCCTTTTTTTTTCTTTTTCTTCTGCCTAAAACAAGCTGGGCGAGAGAAAGCAAAACATGACTATGTTTTATGCACTTTTAGGCTAGCTGCACACATATACTTTTTCTTTTATTCAGCTGTGGGCTGTACAAGAGAAAATAATTTGATTTCCCCATATATGCTAAAAAGCATTGATGGAAGAATCTCCACTGCCAGAGACAGTACCTCAGCAACCCAGGCTACCACAGCACCTGTTGCTGCCTTAACACCCAAACAGTGACTGCATCTGATGGAACGCAGTCACTGTTAGACCAATTATTTTCCACTTGGCTCAGTTGATGTTTAAGTTGATTTTTGTCAAGCTGTGTGATGCTTAAAAGGGCCACACATGGCTCAAATTTCACTTGATTCAGCAGGATTCGCCCAACATTCAAGCTGTATATGGCCAGCTTTAGGCTTCTGACCGATAAGTTTGTGGACTAACAAAATAAATTAAAAAAACTGCTTTTCAACTGCATTTTACCAGCAGGTGCTTGTTTATCATGTCCTATAAAAAATGCTGCTTCTTACTGTGTTATGCTGCATTTTAGTATGCATTTTGAAAAGTCCAGGGGTTTAAGTAATTTTAATCACAAAGCCGAAACTGCGTTTGATCTTTAGATATTGTAATCGGCCATTTTATTGCACTCAAATCTGAATTAATGCTAACTAGGCAGGTCTGCTGTAATCACATCAGGTCCATTGTAGTAAACCATACATCTGCGTACGATCTGTGCATTCAACAACCAAAGAAGGAGCAACCACTGCAATACACCTAAGAACTTTGATAATGTACACATCTCATGAGAGAATTATGTATGCTGACATTTCCTTTAGAAAATGAAGTTTCCAGACTGACATCTCAATGCTTTGACTCCAGCCCCTAAGACGGCCATAGAGTTTTCGAATCTTGGCCAGTTCAGCAGGGACCGACCTAGATTCAATCCTTGTATGTGCAGGCTGATTGTACCGAAGTACAACCAGCATGTCGGATTTTTACATGCGATTATTGCCTACCGTTATAGCCGCTAACAACAATTGTGTTCCCCTGGCAGGGATGGCTCCCCATGCCCCCCACCCCCCCCCTTGCAGAGAGAACACAATAACCCTGTGGGAGAGATTCCCCCATCAACACTGACTGTGTTGATATGATGAGAGTATCAAATTTTTACTTTCCTGCAATCCATGTACTTCAGAAGACAGCGGCACCTTTGTTTTGAAAATCCGTATAGTAATAAACCTAGCTCACTTAAATCATCAATATAAATGCTATACCTTTTTCCATATAAACTAGAACATGTGAGTAATATTAGGTCAATGACATCACTCGCATACCCTTCCCATTGTGCACATGCAGTCGGGGTGGGCAATGCCCCAGCTGCAGTTGATTGGGCTTTTAGGGATGTGATCATGTGACTGCTTCCCACAGGTTATGCTGAACGAATCTAAACTGAGTTTGGATAGAACATAGCTCATCCTTGCTGGTCATGTGTGCAGCACCATGGCAACTGCAGATCTAAACAGAGGCTTAGGTGGCACCATCCTTGACAGAAAGGGAGAGGACGGTTTAGTTCTACCTAGGTTATGTACATAGTTTTTGGAAAAGTATCAAGTCAATTAAGTGTGGGCAGGGATTCCTATAATGCTGTATTGTTCCTTTAGTTTTTGGGAAGGGGTTTTTAAGTTTTTGAAAATCTACACTGGCTGCAGGTTAAAATTGAAAAATCATTTTTAATATGGATTATGTAGCTGTAATGTACATTTATATCTAGTTTACTCAAAGATACCTAACACTAACTAGAAAAGCTTATGGGGCTTTGGAGGCACAATACCACAAAATTAAATATTCAAAAAAATTACAAAATATAGCTTTTATTTATAAAAATTCAAACTACAGTTGTGGTGTTGAGGGTTGAACAGACAGAATGTTCATCTTAAAAAGCACAATGTGCTAGTAACAAACACAATCAATATAAACCATTACAAAATATGGTCTTAAACCATATAAATGTCATAATTATGATGGTTCCAAGTTAAGGCTTTGCTGGTCGCTCCAGTGCATTTCGCAGGGCACAGCTCGCTTTTTCAGGGAGACAAAGTATGTGATTATAGAATTGTTAAAAAATGGCCAAAAAAGTAAAAATGAATATATAGCATGTTTAGAGAGATAATGATAGATCTAACAAATGCTCTATCGGCATATTACTCATTGATGACATCATGGACTTTATGGGAGGCCAGTGGAAAAAAACATGAACAATGGATCCCAAAAGGAAGGGAAGAAAAGGATCACTCAGTCAGAAATATGGATATCCGCCAGTTGGAAAAAGTTACAAATCCATAAAAGGAAGCTGAAAAATGATCAAAACATGAAGCTGTTTCCCAGAGCATTACAAGCTACACCCCTACTCCCCAAGATTGGTTTTAGATAACTTTTTTGGCATTTTTATATAATTCTAGAATCACATACTTTTTCTCCCTGAAGAAGTGGGCTGTGCTCCGCGAAATGTTTCAGAGCAACCAGCAAAGTATTAACTTGGAACCAACATAATTATCATGGCATTTATACTGTTTAAGACCATATTTTGTAATGGTTTATTTTGATTGTGTTTGTTACTAGCACAGTGTGCTTTTTAAGATGAACGTTCTGTCCATCCCTCAACACCACAACCGTGGTTTGAATTATATTAATAAAGCTATATTTTGTTACTTTTTTGAATACTTAATTTTGTGGTATGGTGCCTCCAAAGCCCCATTAGCTTTTCTAGTTAGGGTTATGTATCTTTCAGTGTAGGGATATTAAGGGGTGTGGCACCAATTAAATCCCATTGTGAGTCTCCTTCACCCTTTTTTTTAATATTGTCTCTATATCTAGTTTAGACAAATCTGGAGTTTCTTTCTTCCTTAGTACCCAGTCCGGCCAGCGTCGATGACCTATGATGGCGTGCCACATCTGGCAGCAAGAATAAAGCCAAAGCAACAGAAGGTAGGAAATATCTGATCTGTGAATCTACTTCGCGATTCATCCTACTGATTATGGTCATCCATGTATAGCCTTGTTAAGTGTGTTTAGATGTGCTGTATAAAAATTGAGTGTAAATTAAATAAAATATAACTGTTTCTTATTCATCACTTTCCAGGTGGAGATTGATATGGCCATTAACACGATGAGTCCTAATTATTGCCGCAGTAAAGGAGAACAGATTGCCCTCAACGTTGATGGCACTAGCAATGATGAGACCAGTACCTATTCCACGTACGTTTTCAGCTGCCTTATATGGGCGTTTCCTATTTTTTCACCTCCCCATGTTTTCCTGCTTACTTAAACTATGTGTGAACTTCATTAAAATAAAACCGTTTTTGAAATCATTTTATAGAGACCACATTCATGGAAATGGTAAAATATGTAAATATTAATCTCAGTTTTTGGTTTCTTATTCTGGTAAAATTGTTGCCATCCTGTGCTTATGTTGCTGACACTCAACACGGCAGGAAAGTCTGTTTTTTGTAACATTTAGCATTTATTACCTAAAATAATTTGAACTGCAAAATGTGTGTTACAAGTGCTTAATCCAAAAAGGGAAAAGCATGTGTGACCTAAAGATGGTCGTCTTTTTTTTTTTTTTCTTCTCTGCATGCTAGTTTCATATCGAAAATTAAGAGGTTATGAAAGTTTTCGTATGACAGAATACAACTCCAGAAGTAATGTAATATATATTAATGTATTTTGTTTCTGATCGTGTGTACTAGGCATAAACAAAGTGTAAAGGGATGAGCATGCCACAGGTTAGTGCAAGTCCTGTAAAAGTTTTTTAATCTTGATAAAGTCAAAAGACAAAGCAAAAGTAGAATAAACAGTTTAATGTCTTTCATTAAAAGACAGCTAGAGCAAATATACCATATTTCGTGCTCCATAAGACGCACCTGACCATAAGATGCACCTAGCTTTTAGAGGTGAAAAACAAGAAAAAAAATATTCTGAACCAATGGACTGCGGACACAGTACAGGAGATGACCAGAGACTGCGGACACAGTACAGGGGATGACCAGAGACTGCGGACACAGTACAGGGGATGACGAGAGACTGCGGACACAGTACAGGGGATGACGAGAGATTGCGGACACAGTACAGGGGATGACGAGAGACTGCGGACACAGTACAGGGGATGACGAGAGACTGCGGACACAGTACAGGGGATGACGAGAGACTGCGGACACAGTACAGGGGATGACGAGAGACTGCGGACACAGTACAGGGGATGACGAGAGACTGCGGACACAGTACAGGGGATGACGAGAGACTGCGGACACAGTACAGGGGATGACGAGAGACTGCGGACACAGTACAGGGGATGACGAGAGACTGCGGACACAGTACAGGGGATGACGAGAGACTGCGGACACAGTACAGGGGATGACGAGAGACTGCGGACACAGTACAGGGGATGACGAGAGACTGCGGACACAGTACAGGGGATGACGAGAGACTGCGGACACAGTACAGGGGATGACGAGAGACTGCGGACACAGTACAGGGGATGACGAGAGACTGCGGACACAGTACAGGGGATGACGAGAGACTGCGGACACAGTACAGGGGATGACGAGAGACTGCGGACACAGTACAGGGGATGACGAGAGACTGCGGACACAGTACAGGGGATGACGAGAGACTGCGGACACAGTACAGGGGATGACGAGAGACTGCGGACACAGTACAGGGGATGACGAGAGACTGCGGACACAGTACAGGGGATGACGAGAGACTGCGGACACAGTACAGGGGATGACGAGAGACTGCGGACACAGTACAGGGGATGACGAGAGACTGCGGACACAGTACAGGGGATGACGAGAGACTGCGTACAGGGGATGACTAGAGAGCGCGACACAGTACAGGGGATGACGAGAGACTGCGGACACAGTACAGGGGATGACGAGAGACTGCGGACACAGTACAGGGGATGACGAGAGACTGCGGACACAGTACAGGGGATGACGAGAGACTGCGGACACAGTACAGGGGATGACGAGAGACTGCGGACACAGTACAGGGGATGACGAGAGACTGCGGACACAGTACAGGGGATGACGAGAGACTGCGGACACAGTACAGGGGATGACGAGAGACTGCGGACACAGTACAGGGGATGACCAGAGACTGCGGACACAGTACAGGGGATGACCAGAGACTGCGGACACAGTACAGGGGATGACGAGAGACTGCGGACACAGTACAGGGGATGACGAGAGACTGCGGACCTTTGGGGGAGGGAGGGGGAGCGGGTACCTGAAGTTGTCCTTTCTTTAGTGTGGGCACGCTGGCTTCTTCCCGTGCCAACTTCCGTGACAGCCAGGTGCCCGCTTTGTGAATGGCCCAGCGCCTTCTGGGACCTGTCATGTGTCCCAGAATTTGCTGGACAATTCACAAAGCGCAGCGCTTCTCACGCATGCGCAGTGGGCACCCGGCTGTCACAGAAGCCGGCGCGGGAAGACTACAGCGATGGACAGAGGAACAGGTAAGGTCCTGCAGGAGAGAAGAGCTGAGCGGCCGGCCCGGTATTCTGACATGGTGGCGGCGGAAATACCGGACCTGCCGCTCCATATTCGCTCCATAAGACCCACTGACATTTTCCCCCCTTTTTTGGGTGGAAAAAAGTGCGTCTTATGGAGCGAAAAATACAGTAATTGTGCTTGCAGTCATCTCAAGGGATATGCACAACACATACTATCATCAGAGATGAAGTTTGGCAGACTATACATTAATCTTTTTTTGTTCAACCAGTGAATTAAACAAAAAAAAAAAAGTGAACTGAATCCTGCCCTCTGTGGTACTATTGTATTCTGATAGCGTGGAACCTTCCCTGCTGTCAGAATACAATGATCAGCACTGCCGGCTATATCCGGCGGCACTGATGAATCGGGAAAAACCCAACAGGCTGGTTGTACACAAGTCAATTGAGCGATTGGATGGCTCCTTCCTAAACCAGCTGAATTTCGATCCATGTATGGCTGGCTTTCGACTTTGAGATATGATTTTTAATACACCATATTTATTATGCACACAAACTTTAATGATACTCTGATTTATATGATATTTGTGTCATGTTGTTTCTCAGCCTTGATGAAGAAGGGAGCCTTGAACCCCAGAAATGCACTGGCTTCTTCTTCTGACTTTATTAAGATTAATAAACTTTTACTGAACTTGAACTAACCTGTGTTGCTTTCATCCTTTTTTACACTTTGCTTTAAATCTTTGGTTCTTAATGACTCATGTGTGGGGGCTAATTTGGGTATGAGGAACCAGTAACGGCAATATTAAAGCAAAACTTCCTATGTAGTGGGGCTGTGCCCGCACTGCATGGGTTAACTGCTCGTTTTGTCTAGGGGTGAACACAGAGCTTATACTCGCCCAGTCCTATCCTCCGGAAAACGTCAATCCCTCACGTACAGCTGTGTACAGTTCTTGATAGCCTCGTGTCCATTGTCTATGTGCATAATGACGTCAGGAACAGTCCTCCGCACCGGAGCAGCTGGGACTGGTCTTGTGCTGGGAGGATCAGTGGATTAGGTGAGCATGCTCAACTGGCTATTACATTCATAAAAGTTGATTAGAGTCCATGAACGGAACTAATTTCTCCACTGGCAGCTGTTCTCAGGCTCTATATATAGAGATAAATGGAGTAAAAATAGGCGAAGCACCACCTAAGTGTAATATTTCAATGTACCATTTATTAAGCACAAGATTAAAAGCACTCACAAGATAGAAGATAAAACTCGCTCATCATAATAAAACATGTGGGAACAGGCCTGTAGAAAGAGCAGAGGCTCCGAGCATTTAGCCTTTATATCCAGCCCGTCTCACTCCCCGGTGACTCACTTATGCTTTTGCGTTCCAAGCTGTCCAAGGAGGACTTCCTGTTTCTTCATTTCTTTGTCCATGCTTCAACACCATCTGATACACCACAGTGGTTGTCCAGGACGGTGACAAGCGGCCGATTCCCACATGTTTTATTATGATGATTGCGTTTTATGCAGTATCTTGTGAGTGCTTTAAATTTTGTGCTTAATAAATAGTACATTGAAATATGCTTCAGTGGCACTTCCCCCTATTTTTCTTCCATTCATCTCCTGCTATGTAAGTATGACTTCTCTTATTACTCTTAAAGTCACAAGTTAGGCAGTTTTAGTTGGCCATGGTTTGTTTTATTTTCCACTCAGCTGTCAAGTTGAAAGAAAATAAAACGAACAGATTCCTGCATCCACAGAAAACAAAACTAACAGATTCCTCCATCCACACAAACAAGTTGGATGGAGGAAATGAGGACGACAACACACGGGTCAAAATTCAGCTGCCCCCTGCTAAACCAACTGAATTTTGATCAGTCTATGGCCAGCTTTAGTCCCGAGTGTTCTGCAAATGGTTAATTCTAAGATGTTGTGAAACTTCATGGGTGTATTTTGTATCTTGTGTTTAAGTTATGGTTTCCTAATGTTTTTTTTTTTTTTTTTCCCCCTAGGAAACTTATGGACAAACAGACATTCTCATCCATACAAGCTGCAAGTAACACAAATCGCTATGCAGCTGCATTATATAGAAAAGGTATATTACTGTTGTGCTTAATATTTATTACCTTTTTGCAGCTTGAGAACAGCCATCCTTCGTCCAGTTATAGTTAAAGCGGTGTTCCAGCTGAAAAAGAAAAAAAGTCTTTAAAATACAGACACTTACCTGTCCCTCGGTCCAGTGATGTCCTCACCACAGCTGGTTTCACAGGCCATCTGCTTGCGCCGGAATCTCCAGTGTGGGCACCCGGCCGTGACAGCTTGCGGTTTTGACACCTGGGTGCACACTGCACATGCACAAGAAGCGTTGTGCTTTGTGAATGGCCCCGTAGTCTTCTGGGACCTGTCACGTGTCCACCCCCCCCCCCTTCCCCAAAGGTTCCAACCCTCAATGGGGGACGGAGGCTTAAAGCAGAACTTCCCCTTTTGGGTGGAGCTCGGAGCTCCGCTTTAAAGAACTCGATATGCTGGCATTGCATTATAAAAACAAAATTTTTCTTACTCTCTGTATAGTGTCTGTTAAATAGATATGCCAGCATAGAGCACTGCAGCATGTGAGGTCTTGATGCAGCAACTTCATGTAAAGAAAACAATACTTATTAATCAAAAAATAATCTGGTTACAGAAGTACACTTACTTGTGCTCTCCTGTGACCCAGAATCCAGCCCACAGCATGCTTTAGATGTCCCAGAGCCTCTCTAGGCTCTGGAAGGATCCTGACACCCTGATGCCTGATCAGCAGTTGGCTTAGTCCTCAGTGCACCTCCCTAGCTCCCACCCCCTCACCAGCTTGCGATGTGCACAAGAACAGCAGCTGTCTCAGGTCTCTCCCTCATTGGCTGAGACACAGAAGTGGGAGCCCATAGCTTCTGCTACTGTCAATCACATCCAGTGACAATGGGGGTGGCAAGCCACACTCTGTGTGTCTTATATGCACACATGGGTGGCTTGGGAGAGAGCACGCACGAGTGCCTTTAGAGCAAGCAGTTTGCTCTGGGGCACTCAGCAGGGTTGACGAATCAAGAGTGCCAGCAGGGGACCCAAGAAGAGGAGGTTTGTGGCTGCTCTGTGAAAAACCATTACACAGAGCAGGTAAATACAATGTGTGTGTGTTTTTTTTTTTTTTTTTAAACAAAATGTCTGAACCTTTAGTATAACTTTTAAGTATAGTTCCACATTCAGGGTTTGATGCAAGACATGGAATAAGGTTGATTTTGTCCATTCTTAATAGATTACATCTGTACGTTTCTTTGTGCAGGTGAAATTCACCTAACTCCTTTGTATGGGATTCTTCAGTTACGTCCCAGTTTTACGTATCTGGACAAAGCAGACACTAAATTCAAAGAGCGAGAAGCTGCAAATGATGGTAAGCTGTAATAACAACTGTGTTTTCCACACTTGGGATTTTCTTAAACATGGAAATGTAGACTCTGCCATAAATAAAAACACTACTGTGTGCATTATGATTTCACCTGGGGTCATGGGACTTTCTAATTGCCATGGTATCTAAATCATTGTTCTCATTGTAGCTCATTTTATTTTTTCCTCAGCTGGAGATTCTTCACAAGATGAAGGTGAGGACGACGTAAAGCAAGTTACTGTAAGTCTGGCATAGTGTTGGTCTTGTTGGTATTGGTCTCGTTTTGCACTATTAATGCTTCATCTAATTGGTCTGACTTGCCAAGAGTACTGGTCACCTTTAAGTTTACATACAGCATATCTTTGTTATTGCTTTTTATGTTTTTCACTCTTCATCAAGTGTCTCATCAACTATTTAATTAGAAGGCCCCTTTCACATGAGCAGATCTATGGGGTACACCTGTCTGGTTTTGAGGCGGACCCGATTGGTTCATCCAAAGACTTCTATGGACCGGTGGGTGTTGGCAAACAATAGTCCTCTGACACCCATTGTCATCTGATCCAATCCAGTACGCAAAAAACAGACAGATGGGGATCCGTTCCCCATCAGTCCATCGGATCGGATGGAAACGGACAGGCGGCCCGTTTCCATCTGACTGTCCTATGGAAATCAGCAGAGCAGACCGAGAACTGTCATCTGTCTGCTCAGCGGGGATCAACAGAGAGATCGCCCACTGAACAGCTGGATAAACTGATGGATCCGCCCCGTCTGAAAGGACCTAAGGAGGGTTGTGCTATCGGTTTGTATATTATTGGAATAATATTTTGGTTACTGCTATATTACTGCTGGTATATTTATCTTCTGTGGAAATGAGAGGAACAAATGTTAATGTGTTTTAGGTTAGTTTTTTCATGCTTTTTGTTTTTTATATATGTTGTAATGTAAAATGCATTGCTAATCTACTATTTAAAACTCTAGTTGCTTGCCTGTAATGCAGTTTAAAACGGTTTTTCAGTAATATTGGGAGAACTGGAACTTTGTTTAAGCAAGTGAAGTCAGATTCCTGATGTGCATAGTTGTTCGGGGTTAGTGACTCAAAAGTTATTGACGTCATTGCAGTTGTTAAACAGCCAGGTAGTTGGCATTCACAAGAAAGGTCAGCGTTGGAGTACTTTCAGTACATGTTTTAGCATAGGAGGGCAACGTAACTTGGCGCTGGAGAAATCTTGAAATGGAATTTGTTGTGCCCTGATCTTGGCTACTCGTGATTATTACACACCTGAAGGATCCAAAAAGATATTGCTACCTTTTGATTGAATGGGTTCCAGCCTTTTTTTCCCCGTTGGAAGATTTCCTCCTACCTCCTGTGTTGTGTGTGTGTGTTGTTTGTTTTTTTTTTTTTTTTATCCATTTTTATTGTGTGCATTTTAAAATTAATTTTTTTTGTGTTATACCTACAAATTTGAATAAAACACAGAATAGAAACAAGGCACAGATGCACATATTTGTAGAAGAAAAATAAACTCGGGGGGAGGTGAAGAGTCACCTCCCACCTCCTGTTTAATTTTGAATTTTTCCATTGCTTTCTGCCCTAGTGATATTGATCACCAGAACAAACGGAGAGGATAAACGCAGATATTGACATCAAAACCTGACCCAGCTGTACACTTTAAACTAATTGGTGCCCTCCAATCTTTTTTTACCCTTCTTTGTCTCACTCCAACAGCAATAGGAGAGAATTTTTGAATATTCTTGTTGCATTCTCAATAATATCAAAAGCGTTTGACTCGTTATTGCTTTGGCAGGTGCACAAACCTTAAAAAATGTCATCAGTGGGAGACGTAAGAAACTGTTGGAAGGTATACACCAGTGGTGGCGAACCCGTGGCACGCGTGCCACAGCCGGCACGCCGAGCCTTATCTGTGGGCACGCCAGGAGAATCCAGCGGCGCGCTGTCTTCCCGGCTGTAGTGTGCGTGACAGCCGGGTCCCAAGTGCGCATGCACAAGAAGCAGTGCTCCTTGTGAATGGTAAGGCGGTACCTGGGACACATGACAGATCCCAGAAGCCGCCGGACCAATCACAAAGCGCAGCGCTTCTCGCGCATGCGCACTGGGCATCCGGCTGTCCGACGAGCGCCCACACTACAGAAGCCGGGAAGACACCGCGCGGCTGGATCGAGGAACAGGTAAGATAAAAAAAAAAAAAAACTCTGCGGAAGTAAGAGCGGGTACCTGTCAAATTCAGGTACCCGATCCCCCTCCCTCCCCAAAGGTCAGCAGTCATCCCTGTGCTGTCCGCAGTCTCTGGTCATCCCTGTGCTGTGTCCCCAGTCTCTGGTCATCCCTGTGCTGTGTCCCCAGTCTCTGGTCATCCCCTGTACTGTGTCCGCAGTCTCTGGTCATCTCCTGTACTGTGTCCCCAGTCTCTGGTCATCCCTGTGCTGTGTCCCCAGTCTCTGGTCATCCCTGTGCTGTGTCCCCAGTCTCTGGTCATCCCCTGTACTGTGTTCCCAGTCTCTGGTCATCCCTGTGCTGTGTCCCCAGTCTCTGGTCATCCCTGTGCTGTGTCCCCAGTCTCTGGTCATCCCTGTGCTGTGTCCCCAGTCTCTGGTCATCCCTGTGCTGTGTCCCCAGTCTCTGGTCATCCCTGTGCTGTGTCCCCAGTCTCTGGTCATCCCTGTGCTGTGTCCCCAGTCTCTGGTCATCCCTGTGCTGTGTCCCCAGTCTCTGGTCATCCCTGTGCTGTGTCCCCAGTCTCTGGTCATCCCTGTGCTGTGTCCCCCCAGTCTCTGGTCATCCCTGTGCTGTGTCCCCAGTCTCTGGTCATCCCTGTGCTGTGTCCCCAGTCTCTGGTCATCTCCTGTGCTGTGTCCCCAGTCTCTGGTCATCTCCTGTGCTGTGTCCCCAGTCTCTGGTCATCCCTGTGCTGTGTCCCCAGTCTCTGGTCATCTCCTGTGCTGTGTCCCCAGTCTCTGGTCATCTCCTGTGCTGTGTCCCCAGTCTCTGGTCATCTCCTGTGCTGTGTCCGCAGTCTCTGGTCATCTCCTGTGCTGTGTCCGCAGTCTCTGGTCATCTCCTGTACTGTGTCCCCAGTCTCTGGTCATCTCCTGTACTGTGTCCGCAGTCTCTGGTCATCCCTGTACTGTGTCCGCAGTCTCTGGTCATCCCTGTACTGTGTCCGCAGTCTCTGGTCATCCCTGTACTGTGTCCGCAGTCTCTGGTCATCCCTGTACTGTGTCCGCAGTCTCTGGTCATCCCTGTACTGTGTCCGCAGTCTCTGGTCATCCCTGTACTGTGTCCGCAGTCTCTGGTCATCTCCTGTACTGTGTCCGCAGTCTCTGGTCATCTCCTGTACTGTGTCCGCAGTCTCTGGTCATCTCCTGTACTGTGTCCGCAGTCTCTGGTCATCCCTGTACTGTGTCCGCAGTCTCTGGTCATCCCTGTACTGTGTCCGCAGTCTCTGGTCATCCCTGTACTGTGTCCGCAGTCTCTGGTCATCTCCTGTACTGTGTCCGCAGTCTCTGGTCATCCCTGTACTGTGTCCGCAGTCTCTGGTCATCCCTGTACTGTGTCCGCAGTCTCTGGTCATCCCTGTACTGTGTCCGCAGTCTCTGGTCATCCCTGTACTGTGTCCGCAGTCTCTGGTCATCCCTGTACTGTGTCCGCAGTCTCTGGTCATCCCTGTACTGTGTCCGCAGTCTCTGGTCATCCCTGTACTGTGTCCGCAGTCTCTGGTCATCCCTGTACTGTGTCCGCAGTCTCTGGTCATCCCTGTACTGTCCGCAGTTCTGGTCATCCCTGTACTGTGTCCGCAGTCTCTGGTCATCCCTGTACTGTGTCCGCAGTCTCTGGTCATCCCTGTACTGTGTCCGCAGTCTCTGGTCATCCCTGTACTGTTAATTAGTTTGCACTACTGTACGAGTTGTTTTTTTTTTCTAAACCAAAAGCTCGATATTCAGGTTTCATTGCAGTGTTGGCACTTTGAAAGAAATAAGTTGGTTTTGGGTTGCAGTTTGGGCACTCGGGCTCAAAAAGGTTCGCCATCACTGGTATACACAATTGTAGATTGGACCCTTAAAGTGTCAGTCCATACAACATTGATATTTCAGTTTTTTTTATTGATTCGGTCAGAATTACATCAGAGTGATCTCACCGTTGCTGGTCTGTTTTGGCTGACTTTTGTTGGCATCGGACAGGGTTTTCTATCCCATATAAGTTTATGGATATGTAAAATAATTTGAAGCAGGTTAGAAGGTCAGCTGCAGGCCATATGAACTGTTCTGTATTCTAAATGATCTCAAACTGATGTTAAACTGATGCCATCAACACAAGCCAATAACCTTCAACACAGGAACCTAAAGCATTTGACATAAGCCGGGGACTGACTATGACCGCCAATCCACTTCAATAACGATCACTTTCTCTATTGCCCATTGAGGGACACAGAAAATCAGACAGTCATGGTTTTACTTGGTGTAAAGAAAGCTGGAACACTGGAGAACATAAAAAGCAGCATGGTTTAGCATTTTGCTAATGTCCTAGGAGGTTTGAAAACTTTTCTTTAGCTCTGCTTAAAAAAAAAAAGTCATTCTTTTTTGCTAGCTTTATACATTGTGGTTTGTTTATTTTTTTAATGTGACTTTAATCTAGATTTTTGTTACATTGATAATGTGTTTTACTCAGTAACTTCAACAAGGTTCTGACATCTCTGCCTTTGTTGATATTTATATAGCAGATATCCTGATTGGTGTATTCTCAGCAAAAACTTTGAATGCCATACCTGGACCTCCCTGTAAAGGACAATTGCGAGGCTAGCCTGGAATGTGACCATCGGACATTAGACTCTGCAGACTTGAGTGTGTTGGTTAGCTGCAGAGTGCTTTCTGGGTCCAGAGCCATGGCACAGTCTCTGGTTAGATCCTGTCTCTGAAGATTTGCTGAGAGGCGCCAGTTAGACACCACCGGTTTTACTGTGATTAGGGTAAAAGCCGATGGACCAATCAGTAATGTCAGGTAGGTGTGGAGTGCACCATGTTCACGCCCATTGCTCTTTTCCTGCTGTTCAGCCTATAGAAGCACCATCCTGCTGCTACTCTGGTTACTGAAGCACAATTGCAATCATTCAGTATCTGGTCTAATTCCGTTGCCCACCTAGCATGACTCTGTCCACTCTGGCTGACAGAAACCCAGCACCAGCTGATTGGGTTTATGAGTACTAGAGGCCTTTCCTCACATTGGACCTAACTGCTTAACACTATGTGGCGCAACATATTTTTTCAAAGTTACACAGAAGACGATCTCGTTGCTGCAGTTGATTTCGGCCCCTTGTTGTTCTGGGCGCCTTTTATCTATTATCCCTAGAAGGAGCTGATGCTTGTACTCTACAATCTGAGCCCCTATTACCAGCTGCCTAGATTTATGAGTACTAGGGGCTTTGCTTCACCTTGTATCTTGTTGCTTTACACTACATGGCATAACGTATATCTTCTCAAGTTTACACAGAAGACTATCCCATTGCTGCATTTAACATCGGTCCAAATGCCCCTAGTTGTTCAAGGTGCTTTTACCTGGTATCCCTAGAAGAAGCCAATGCCTGTACGCTAAAAATCTGAGCTTAAATTATTATAAGGTCATCCTCAACTGGAGCAGTCTGCTTGCAGAGGCTCTAAACATGCTCAGGTGTGATCTGTGGCAGACTTTCTGGGCCTTCAATTTATTCTATGCCCGTGACCCACTGATGCAGACTCCCACCAGTATACTTTTGGAGAGAATGTTTTTCAGCAACCTGATTTTACAAGGATCCTAGGCCCCTACAGAGAAGGTGTCAAAGGTTTTCCCTTTTGACAGAGAATATGTTTCTTGATGGCCTCTTCCCACCATAGATGCTCCATTGATCCACAATAGCAGCCATACTACTTAAACGGGTTGTGTTCTCACCATCCAGGATTTATCTGACAGTTAAACTCCCCTCTTAAAAAGACTCTTTCTTTGGCAGTGACTTTAAGATGTTGAACTGTGTCAGAATGGCTAAAATCCATTAGAGATAATTCCTTCAACGCTGGGATAGGCCCTTGTTTTATAGAGCAATCCAAGCAAAAGCCTGCAGCCTTGCAGTTTTCTTGCGATAGCTTGTTTTTAGCAACTAAACTTGTGTGTCACATGGAACTAATGTTGGTTCCTGTATGTAGGGCTCTTTGGCTTCAAGCCTGGCATGCCAATGATACAGCCAAGGAACATCTAACTCGGTTACCCTTCAAGGGATGTTGTCTCTTTTGGCCTGCTGTTGATAACCGTTATTAGCAATGCCACTGGCATGCTCCTATCTTAACCCAGGATATTTTTGGAAGGAGAAGAGGAGCCCCATCCTTCATCTACTATGGCACTAGGAGCATGTAGGTATTCAGAGCCCACCTCCCACTCAAGCTGCAGGGGTCATCTAGCTTCTCACCACCCTTCTTCATGAAGGTGCGCCTTCACTTTACATGTGGTTTTGTTCATCTAGCTGGGTCCTTTTGGTATTCTGCCTTCCCCAGTAATTTGAGTGTTCATGTTACTCCCTGTAGCCTTCAGCTAAATCTTTGAGTCAGGTTTTTCAATCAGCTGTCCATCTTCACTCTTGGCCAACAAGGACCAATTCCTGCTGTTCCCTTCCCTAGTTAAGGACCTGACCCTTTAGTGTCATTCAGCAGCACTGGTCCTTCTCACAGCACTAGCCCTTATGTCTACCCTAATGCGTATTCTTGATATCCCCATTGTAGAACACTCAGGAGTTTCTTGGACTCTTGTTGTCTGAGTCCTGTGGGTCCCATCATTTGAAAACCTTGTCTAGATATGGCTTCTAATATGTCTAGCTGTGCTCCCTTATGAGCTAAGATTTTCAGATCCGATCATCACTAAGCAAGTCCACATCCCTGTGGGCCTTCTGTATCTGTCAGATATTCTCCTGTCTACAGGAGGGACATGCTGCCAAAATTAAAAACACAGCAGTGCAAGGTTCCACCCACTCAGTCCAACATTTATTTACAGAGTTTTGTGAATGAGAGAGCTACATCTACCATCAGCCGTTGTGGCTGTCAGCTTGTAGTTCTCAATGAACTACCAGGACGCTGGTGAGCATTCTATTATTATTATAATACAGGATTTATATAACGCCAACAGTTTGCTCAGCGCTTTACAATATAACCGGAGACAATACAGTAACAATATAGTTCAATACAAGAGGGATTTGAGGGTCCTGCTCCTTGGAGCCCACATTCTAGGAGGGTGGGGCTAGTGGTACAAAAGGTAGTAACTGTGGGGGATGGGCTGGTTGGAAGTGTAGAAGATTCCAGTATTAGCTGAGGGCAGGATAGGCTTCCCTGAAGAGACAGGTTTTCAGAGATCGCCTAAAAGTGAGCAGAGTAGGGGATAGTCTGATAAATTGGGGTAGAGAGTTCCAGAGGATGGGGGAAGCTTTGGAGAAGTCCTTGAGATGAGCATGGGAGGAGGAGACAAGGGCACTAGAGAGTAGGAGGTCTTGCGAGGAGCGGAGAGTTATAAATTGCTTTATACGTTGTTAGTGTTTTGAATTTTATCCGTTGGGCAACGGGAAGCCAGTGGAGGGATTGACAGAGAGGGATGGCAGATACAGAACGGTTAGTAAGGTGGATGAGTCTGGCAGCAGCATTCATGATAGACTGAAAAGGGGATAGCCTGCGATGAGGTAAGCCAATGAGGAGAAGGTTACAATAGTTAAGGTGTGAGATAACAAGGGAGTGAATAAGTTGCTTAGTGGTTTCCGAAGTTAGGAACGGGCGTATCTTGGAGATGTTGCGGAGGTGAAGTCTACAAGATTTGGACAGTGATTGGATTTGGGGCTGAAAGGATAGATGGAAGTCTAGGGTTACACCTAGTACCCTGGCATGAGGGGAGGGACTGATGATTGTGTTATTGATCTTGATGGAGAAGTCAGGGGAGGGGGCACGGGCTGTAGGGAATACGAAGAGCTTAGTTTTGGAAAGATTGAGTTTGAGGAAGTGGAGTGACATCCATGCCAATATGTCACTTAGTAGGTTAGTAATGCGAGTGGAGACTGAAGGGGTGAGGTGAGGGTTAGAAAGATAGATTTGTGTGTCATCAGCATAGAGATGGTACTTAAAGCCGTGTAGATGGAGAAGAGAAGGGGTCCAAGGACAGAACCTTGAGGACCCCTACAGAAAGAGGGAGTGAAGAAGAGGAGGCAGCGTTATAGGTAACACTGAAGGAGCACTGCGATGGGTAGGAGGAGAACCGGGAGAGAGCAGAGTCTCTGAGGCCAAGAGAGTGGAGTTTTTTGAGGAGAAGGGAATGGTCAACCGTATCAAAAGCCGCAGAGAAGTCAAGTAGTAAGAGTACGGACGGAGTAGTGGCCATTGGTTTTAACAGTTAGTAGATCATTTGTGAGTTTTCGTAGGGCAGTTTCAGTGGAGTGTAGAGAGCGAAAGCCAGACTGTAAAGGGTCAAGAAGGTTTTGATGTCGGTGAGGTGGGAGCTCAGGCGATTGTAGACTAAGCGTTCTAGGAGTTTAGAGGTAAATGGCAGCAGGGAGATGGGTCTTAAGTTGTTCAGGTCGGTGGGGTCCAGGGAGGGCTTTTTAAGTATGGGAGTGATGTGTGCATGCTTTAGAGGGGAGGGGAAGCCACCAGTAGAGAGGGAAAGCTTGAAGATGTGAGTGAGGGACCATAGGATGGAAGAAGAGGGTGACCGTAGTAGTTGTGAGGGGACAGGATCCAGGGAGCAGGTAGTGAGACGGGCTTCTGAGAAAACCTTAGTGACCTCTTCGGTAGTGGCGAGGTCAAAAGAGGAAAGTGTTGAGGGAGGTTTAGTATAAGGTATGCTAAGTGGGATGGATGTCTGTGCAGTGGCGACGCCCCTAGGAATTGCATCAATCTTGTTCTAGTCATTCTAGTAGTTCATTGATTCTTCCTGTCCTTGTTGTAACTGCCTGCCCGTGTCGGAACTGCTGATCTCGGGTGCTGTGCTGTACAGGCTCCGAATTTAAAAAAAAAAAACACTTTTTTATTTTATCTGCAAAAAATGTGCATTTATTATAGTTTCCTAAAAATGTGAGCTTTAAACAGGTTTGCAGTGTTAGTCAAACTTAGGAACACTTCCGGGTGTTTCGTTGTAAGGAGTCTTGCTCAACATTGAGATTCTGGTGTTCTTGTGTACCAGTCTAGGGTTCAGTATACCTCATCCCTGTTTACTCTTTGTGTCGGTGTGGCCACTCACCCTACCTTCCTCCTTCAGTAGGACCTCAGAGTTCATACCCTTTTTTTTTTCCGCCCAGTCTTAGGGATCACTTTTTCTATCCTTTGAGATATTATGTTGTGAAGGATCTCATAACTGTTATTGTGTGATTGGTTGTCTAAACAGACGTTCATTTTCCTCAGGGATACCTCTTTTCCTGAATTCCAAGGATTTGGAATATCAGGATGGAGCTTCTATTGTTTGTTAAACATTTTCATGGAGTTTGGCACAGTACATTTTACTGTTAACCATATTTCATTGTTTGCTCTAGTTTCCTCCCATTTGGTTAGTTTTTTTTCCTCTTGTTTTTAGTGGATTGTTGATTGGTCCTTCAGCTTCTTGTAGGTGAGGGCCCTTTTTGGTGCTTGATGGAAAAGCTCCCCTTGCCGTGATTCTTTGTCCTGTCTCAGGCACCAGGTTGGTTGATCCTCTGACCTTCTCTTTTGGTCATGACAGTTCCCACTTGCAAGGGCTTCACCTTCATCTAGATTTGATACCACAATGATCTTAGATACTTCTGTAACACGGATGATTTCCAGATTTCCTTGAGCTTGTCAATGGCTGTTGCCCACACCTCGCTTTGACTGCTGTCGGACATTCTGACTTTTTCTGAATTCAGTGGACGATGGCGAAAATAAGATTTTTGTATTTAATGTGAAATTTTTTTCTTAAAGTCCATTAACAAACTCGGGTCTCAACCCTTAGGCATGCTGGGTAGAGGAAGGGGTTTACACAAGGCTGGTTTACAACTTTTTCTGTTTGCCAGTGTTCCAACCTCCAGTGGGCAGGAGTATAACTGACTATTTCTGAATTGCTGTGTCACTCAATGGTCTTACAGTTAAAAGAATTTACAGTACATACAAAAATCTTATTTTTGGTGTATTGAACTTTTGAGTCTTGTTTTGCAACATAGGTCTAATTTAGCTTGTAAAAAATGTAATGTATTCTAACACTTAGGTGCGGTTTTCGCGTCCGGAAAGTGAGCAGGCAAAACAGAGGAGGGTACAGTCCTATGAGTTCTTGCAGAAAAAGCAGGCTGAAGAGTCCTGGGTGCATCTGCATTACTGCGGGGTTAAGGTAGGTCAAGTCTGTACGGTAAATGTATATTGTATAGGGCGCGCTTGTTGGAGCCCAACCTCTGTAGCTGTAAGATAAAGGTGCCAGATGGAAATCCGGGATGAATGGATGGGAGCAATAACACTTAGGCAGCTCTTCTTAGAGTGGAAGCAAGGCTCTAATGCAGTAAAAAGAAAAAGAGAGGAAGGCGCCTCTAAGTGCAGTATTGACAATTTATTCAGTAAACAATGGAAAATTTGCACTTACAAGATAAAAGGTTAAAAAGGCTCATCGTGTGGTAATTAGATCCAGGCAGGACATCCAGCCGTTCCAGCAGCAAACTATGCCTATAGGATCAGAAGTAGAGACCAGGATGTGCCTGTGCATCAAAAATGAAGCTTGGAGAGCAGAGTCAGATGTAGCAGGTGAAGGGGGCGGTAATGCATTTTGGAGCTTGCTCAATAGGTTCCTTCTTCAGGAGAAGGAGCCTATTGAGCATGCTCCGAAATGCATTACCGCCCCCTTCACCTGCTACATCTGACTCTGCTCTCCAAGCTTCATTTTTGATGCACAGGCACATCCTGGTCTCTACTTTCTGATCCTATAGGCATAGTTTGCTGCTGGAACGCTGGGTGTCCCTGCCTGGATCTAATTACCACACGATGAGCCTTTTTAACCGTTTATCTTGTAAGTGCAAATTTTCCATTGTTTACTGAATAAATTGTCAATACTGCACGTAGAGGCGCCTTCCTCTCTTTTTTTCAAGTCTGTACAGTATATGTATAAAGAGCTGTGGCTGGGCAGTCTTTCATTCTCCCCAACAGGGCAAATTTCATTACCATGAGACAGTATAGGTTATGATGAAAAAGAACTAAACAAATAAAAAGCCCCTATTCTAAACCATGCATAGCACAGTAAAGTCTTCCTAAAACAACGTGTTCACAGGGTTCATTCCTTCACCTACAGTTGTGCTAAAAAGTTTGCATACCTTGGCAGAAATTGTGAAGTTTTGGCATTTATATTTAAAATAAAACTGATCATGCCAAAATGTCTTTTTATTTAAGGATGGTGATTGTATGAAGCCATTTATTATCATAGTTGTTTGGCTCCTTTTCAAATCATAATGATAACAAATTTGCCAAATGTCCCTGATCAAACGTTTACATACCCTCGAATGTTTGGCCTTGGTACAGACACACACATGGTGACAGAATGGCAATTAAAGGTTAATTTCCCACATCTGTGGCTTTTTAAATTACAGTTAGTGTCTGTGTATAAATAGTCAGTGAGTTTATCTCCCGTTTGGATGTACTGAGCAGGCTAAATACTGAACTATGGGAAAAGAACTGTCAAAAGACCTGTGTAACAAGGTAATCTAACTTTTTTATAAATATGGAAAAGGATATAAAAAGATATCCAAAGCCTTGATATCCAAAATCTCTGATGAGAATTAAGAATTGCTACTACATCTATCGAGCCAGATATTGATGTCTGTGTTTATCAAAAACTAGCTGTCACAGTTTTTAAAAAACACAGCTGTGTGGGGCTTTGCCCACCCAGCCACATCATTCATTCATGGTGTTCTGTGAATGAATGAACTACAAGTCCCGCCAGCCTTTCCGTCTCTCAGCTTGTAGTTCTCAGTGCACACCGTGGTAGTTCATTGAGTCTTCCTGTCAGTATATCTGCTTTCCTGTACAGGCAAACAGATATACTGACAGGTCTGCAGGAGACCTGCATGGCACCAGTGATCTACTGATCGCTGGTGCAATGCTTTAGAGACTCCAGAAATAAAAAAAAATTAATAAATGCACTTTTTTTTTACCTGCTAAAAAGGTGAACTTTTAAATACCACACTAGTTTTTATATTGCCCTCTTACACTTTTATATAAAAAAAAAAAATATTACCAAAAAAAAAAAAAGTAGTTTTATTACTGTTAGATTAGCTATATCAGTGAGCGTTAACTTCTGATCTGCCCAACTTTTTCTGCTCATCAACTATCCTGATTGTTGGTGTATTTTATGTGTGGCCCAAGACAATACCTCTTCTTTCAATGTGGCCCAGGAAAGTCAAAGAGTTGGACATCCCTGCTCTAGTGTATAGTGCATATATAACCAAATTTATTATAGGGCCATTTATTCCAAACTGCATACAGCTGTGTCTGTCATAAGTGTATTGTATGGAAACCAAGGCTTCTAGGGAGCAGGGCTTTGGATGCAACAGGACTGTATAACAGTATAAGTTACAGTGAGAAGGGATTAACCACTTGAGCTCCAGAGGATTTACCCCCCTTAATGACCGGGCCTCTTTTTGCTACTCGGCGCTGCACTAATTCAACTGATAATTGCACGGTCATGCAATGCTGCACCCAAACGAAATTTACGTCCTTTTTTTCACACAAATAGAGCTTTCTTTCGGTGTAATTTGATCACCTGTGCACTTTTTATTTTTCTTGCTATAAACAAAAAATGCCAAAAATTTTGAAGAAAAACAATATTTTTTACTTTCAGCTATAAAAAATATATAGTAAACTCAAAGTTGGTTATACATTTAGGCCAAAATGTATTGTGCTACATGTTTTCGGTAAAAAAAATCCCAATAAGTGTATATTGATTGCTTTGTGTGGAAGTTATAGCATCTACAAACTATGGTATAAATACTGCAATTTACGCCATTTTTCTGCTATACAGCGCTGCGCTAGTTTAACGGACAATTGCGCGGTCATGCAATGTGGTACATAAATGAAATTTACATCCTTTTTTTCTCCACAAATTGAGCTTTCTTTCGGTGGTATTTGATCGCCTGTGCGGTTTTTATTTTTTGCGCTATAAAAAAAAGGCTGACAATTTTGAGGAAAAAAAAACAATATTTTGGACTTTTTGCTATAAAACATGTCCAGTAAAAAAAAAATGCAAAAATCAAATTTCTGCCAAAATGCATTCTGCGACATGTCTTTGCTAAAAAAAAAAAAAAACAATACGTGTAAATTAATTGGTTTACGTGAAAGTTATAGCGTTTACAAATGGCGGGAAAGATACTGGGATTTTTAGGGTTTTTTTTTATACAAATGGCGGCGATCAGCAAATTATGGCGGCGATCAGGGACTTGTGGCAGCGACCAGCGACTTATGGCGGGACTGCGGCGGACATTCTGACATTGGGGGGTACTGACTTGAGGTCACGAACATCCCCAAAAACACTAATACAGTGATCAGTGCAAAAAAAAAAAAAAACTGACACTATACTAATGGCAATGGGGAGGAAGGGGTTAACTTTATTTTGCAGGGAAGGGTTATAGGAGTGAGGGGAGTGTTTTTCTAGGGGGCGGGGGTGTGTACTGGGCGGGACAGGGCTGATCAAGAGAGAAACTGTTCTTTCTCAATCAGCTCATCCTTGAGCTGACAGGGAAGTGACAGACAGCACAGCTACTGCAGCTGTGCTGTCTGTCACTGTTTGCCCTTGATCGCCGGACATAGCCGCTAAGGACCGGCTGTGACCCGGTGACTCACATCTGCGGCGGTGATCGGCGGGACAGGGCGGCGGCGGGCCTCGCGCGCGCCCCCTATTTGTTTACAAAACACACGTTTTAAAACGTGGTTTTGCTTGCGAGTGCCGCCCTGCTGCCGTATATCTACAGTGGCTGGGCTGCAAGCAGTTAAAGCAATCAAAAAACCCCCACTCTAAAATTCCTCAAAAGTCTCATTCATAACATAGCCAAGAAAAAAATCAAGTTACACTGATTAACAACTTATGTGAAAAACAGAGGATCTCATTGCATGAATTTGGAAATGTGTGGAAGCCACACCTCTTCACCAGGGCCCTTGTGTGAAATGTGGTACATAGGAGAGCCTCCATCTTGGAGCATATATAGCAATGAATAATTTTAAGGGCAGGTATGCCTGGATGTAGCCCATTCCTCTTTAACCACTTTCTGCCAGCCGTACACATATATGTGGTATGTGGCCTCTTGGCGGGTGAGCTTTAACACAGAGGGGTTGCATATATGCATATCTTTCTGCTTATGTGTCTGCCAATCACAATGGTTACATGATTGGAATGCCCGCCTCCCATCATTTAGAGCCTGTGAAAGGGCTGGGAGGAGGTGGCGGAATGGAGTTAAAGGCTCAAAGCCAGTGCAGCTTTAAAAAAAAAAAAAAAAAAAACACCTCTGGTATGCCCCTGCAGCAAACTAAACAAGAATGGTAACTTCTGCAATCAATTTGTAGCTACTGTTGCTTTTTTAAGTAATGGTGTAAATCAGTGGTGGGCAACCTTTTTTTCAACTGAGCCAAATCTCGCCAAAACCACGATTGAAATTTATTTTGAGAGCCACATTTTAAAACTGAAAATAAATCCCCCATATAGTAATTCATCCCCCATATAGTAATTCATCCCCCATATAGTAATCCCCCATATAGTAATTCATCCCCCATATAGTAATTCATCCCCCATATAGTAATTCATCCCCCATATAGTAATTCATCCCCCATATAGTAATTCATCCCCCATAGTAATTCCATCCCCCATATATATTCCATCCCCCATATAGTAATTCCATCCCCCATAGTAATTCATCCCCCATATAGTAATTCATCCCCCATATAGTAATTCATCCCCCATATTGTGTCAATTCACTTACCTTTGCTCCGTGCGTTCCTCTCGCCGTGTTCCCGCGCCGTTCCGGTCTTCAGGGCGGACTGTGAGAGGAGAGGAGTTCGTCACGCTGCCCCGCCTACATCCTGACAGCCAATGTTTGCCACACTCCGCGGGCCGGATTAAAAGGTCCGCCGGGCCGCATGCGGGCCGTAGTTTGCCCATTGCTGGGCTAGCTGCAGAGTCCTGACTTTTGGGGCGGCTGCCCGAGAGGAGGGAGGGGAGCGGGCGCCTGGCACACAGAAGTGCCGCATTAAAGTGAGCAAAGAGCCGCATGTGGCTCGCGAGCCGCGGCTTGCCGACCACTGGTGTATATGAAGGGCTTTTCACAAAACAAACACAATACAAAAATTTCCCAGCGCACTTACCAGCTACCCAGCAAAAGAAAATACATTAGTTTCACACATTTCCAAAGATGTGGAAGTCACACTGCCTCCTAAGGCCCCTCTGTGATGTGTGGATCCTAATTCTACAGAACTTCAATCGTTTGAGCATATATAGCCATGAATAAATTGGGGGCTGCCCCAGCATAGGATAGAGGCTAGTCTTGGGTTTCAGCATATGTAAACAATCATGCTGTATATCTATCATTTACAGTTAGTACGTTACAGCTATGGGTTTCCTACATAGCGTCTCAGAAATGTCTGTTTCCTTTATCTTTAGGATCCTATATGCCATAAACACCAATATTAGAGGAATGACAATTATGATCTTCACTGTCAGTGTTAAATTCCCCAAAGTGAAGTGGGGTCTCTTTTTTTGTGTACAAATAGCAGCACATGGATGAGGGATGCTGTGGGTGAGGACAGGAGATTTCTTTTCTCCTTACTGCCCACAGCACCTCCTCCACTCCCAAAAAAAACAGCCTACATTGTGCCCCGCAGACCCCTTCACCTGACTGCTTCTGCTGCATAGGATTTGTGGAGGCCTTTGATGACATCCCAGACTTAAAGAAAGGGAATTTTGCTGTGCAGGAAAAAAGGTAAATTACAAATTCCTGCTGGGCTATTTTTATAGGGTATGTTTTGGGCTGTGTTTGGTATGTACCTGGAGTTTAGCTTTAAAGTATAACTAAAGGCAGATGTTGCTAATAAAATTTAGTAAAGAATAAAGTGGGTATAAAAAAGAATCAACACTAATAAAAAAAAAAAAAAAAAAAAAGAAGGGGCAAGAGGCACCATAAATTCAACGTATCGCTGAATGTATATTATCTGCCAAGTAACCAAAGACCAAACATCAAAAAAAAGGGGGGTGAAAAGAGATTCACAGAAAAGCAGTTACATTATGAACAGAAAGCTATACTCAAAAATTCCTCAAAAATTATGCTTCATTACAAAAATCGCATATGTAGACATTTAGGTAAATACCTCAGTTAGCCATCACCACTAGATGAGACAATACAACAAGGTATGACCTAAAACCAGAAGGTTAAAAACAGACGTCATGACCGGTCATGAATATTAAGTGCTGTAAATGTAATGACACTAGGTCTAGTACATGAGCAGCACTGACACACAGGTTACACCACCATGTAGGGGATGTGTTCAAAAAATTGTACCATAAGGCAAAACATCAGAAATGCAATGCTGTATATGACAAGTACATTAGTACCAATAATGGATGAATTCAGGAACGCAATACTAAACCTAAACATACAGTTCAGGAAAATTGTCAAAGAGAGACTGAAAACAGTATATTTGCAATTCTACTGACTGTGTGACACACAGAATTAAGTAATAATCCACAATAGGCACCATAGAGCAAAATGAGTGGTAGGATCTTAAGTAAAGACAGTCATATCCAGAGTGATGGAATAGAATGAACTTTGTGACCATAGTAATATCACCATATAGCATCCGCCATCTATAGTTGAAGTGGCAGGGCCCTGCCAATAAAATATAGGGATTCTTCACCGCCAGCATGCGGGCTATATAACTCCCTTATTAAGAATCTGTGATGTAGAATGTAGGGATATCCATTTTTGATAAAAGAATCGCCCCTTTTTTAAAATAATCACATTTCGTTGCTTTGCAGCCTGAAATGAAGATGGACACAGTTTGTTTTATCCAGCTTTATTTACTCAGTGCAACTTATAACATCCAAGTGAAAGATATAACACCAACATGTAAAAAAAATAAATAAATAAAATACAATTTAAAAAGACTCACGGCGTTTTAAAAAGGATTACCTCCTTGTCAGTATTTTGTTGAACCACCTTTTGCTTCTATTACAGCCTTTAGTCTGTTGGGATATGTCTCTACTAACTGCACACCAAGACTTTGCAATGTTTGCCCACTCTTTGCAGAACTGCTCAAGTTCAGTTAAATTTGATGGTGACTGTGGACTGCAGTCTTCAAGATATTCCACAGATTTTCAGTGGGGTTTAAGTCTGGGCTCTGACTAAGCCATGCATGGACATTCGCCTTCTCCTTTAACCAATGTGTGGTCATTTTCGCTTTGTGTTATTGCCATGTTAGAAGGTAAACCTTCTACCCATTGACAACTTTCAGGCAGAGGGCAGCAAATTGTTCTCAAGATTTCGATGGTATTTTGCCCCATCTATTTTTGTTTCTATCCTGACAAGTGCTCCAGACCCTGCTGCATAGAAACACCCCCATAACAGGATATTCCCAACTCCATGCTTTCCTGGAGAAATGGTGTTATTTGGATGGTGAAACTGCATTGGATATTGTTTAGTGTTGAGGTCAGATCATTCAGTTTTAAAATCTGCAAGGTGCATTTTAGCAAAGCTCAGTCTTGACTGCATGTGGACCTTCTTGAGTAGTGGCTTTTTTCTTGCAAGCCACATTTGTGGAGAATTTGTGATATTGTTGTCACATGCACACAATGACCACTCTGTCATAAATTCCTGCAACTGCTTCAGAATTGCTGTAGGCCTCTTAGTAGCCTCTCTGACCAGTTATCTCCTGGCTCTTTCATCCAGTTTGGAGCGGCGTCCTGATCCAGGGAGGGTCTGTTGTACCAAATACTTTCCACTTAATAATAGACTTCACTGTGTTTCTAGGCATTGATAAAGCCTTCGATATTTTTTGGTATCCATCTCCTGACTTGTGCCTGTCTACAACTTTATCCCAGAGATCTTTTGACAGTGCCTTGCCACCCATAGTGGATTGATTGCTTCAGTTGCACTAACGTGGACTGAAATGCTCCAGGAAAGCTTTTCATGCTGAGCTAATCAAAATGACCACAGCTGATCACAGTTGAATGTAAATAGCTTTGTGTGCCATTGATAAGATAATTAGCTACAACTGATTGTCATTTTCAGGAGGGGGGTAATCCTTTTCCAACTCAGTAATTCTGTTTTTGAACTTTGTTTTATTTTTTCTGACATGTTGGTGTTAGCTTTCACTTGGGTATTATAAGTTGTACTTAGTAAATACAACTGGATAAAACAAAAACTGTGTGTGTCTTCATTTCAGGCTGCAAAGCAACAAAATGCGATTATTTTATAAGGGGGATGATTCTTTTCTATACCCACTGTACAATCAACAATATTTGCCACAGTCTGGGAGTCCTTTGTGAATTCTAAATGTATAGTAGATGCTTCTTACATCTTACATTCTTACAGTTTGTGTTCTTATATTTTTTTAAAGGACAGTCGTTCTGAACATGAAAGACAGTACTTGCTTTGTCAGAATCCAGGCATGACTGAAAACACTGAGCTGATAAAATCCCCTAGGTAAATATTTATTTTACTCATATACAATACAGAGCTGTATACATTGTGTTTGGCAAACTAGAGAGATGTCATCTGCTCAATGCAAAACCTAGTTTTAAAGAGGACCTGTTAGCAGGTTAAAATGTTTAATGGGTTTGCATTGATGCATTGACTGCTTCTCTTGAGCTTGAAGCTCAGCTTTGTGTACAAGGCTTTTGGTTTACTGCATTTTATTGTGCTTTTTAATGCACTGCAAACTCAGGTCAGCTGATTCCAGCTCACTTCAGTGGAACTCTATAGATGGCAATTTAAAGGCTATAAGACATTGATGCCTGTCTGCATGAACCTTTACTCAAATATGGACACAATTATCAGGCTTCCTTGTCACGCTAATCTGTGCAGCCTTCTGCTTATGTTGCACTTCTTTTAGGACTAGTATCCAGGGATCAAAATGAGTACTACACTAGAACACACTGGCTTGAAACTTTGCAGATCCAGACTCATTATTATTTAGGAAATGAGAATATTGACACTCACAGGAATGTACTTAAAAAAAAAAAAAATAGCAACAGTATAAAATGGATGTTGGAATGAAAATAAGAGGCATTTTGTACAATTACTTAGTTTTTACTTGGCTTAAGGCACCCATTGAAATGAAAGGGCTAGTAAAAACAAAAAACCCTTTCTTTTTTTTTTTTTTTTTTTTTTTTCTTTTAGAACGATTGATTTAAAAAAAGGGGTTTTGTGTTACTTTAAAGCAACCAAAAAAGCTGACAGATTTTTTTTAATCTGGCACAGGCCAGTTTAAAGGACAGTACCACTAAAAGTGTGTTGCCAGCTGCTTTTAATTTGGAAAATGTCGCATGAAGCCTAAAGACTTGTGTAGATCGCATGAGTTATATATTAGTTGAAGATCTCAGAATTTATCAATGGGTGCATTTGACTTGCAGTTATCATCCCCCTTACCTGTAGTTAACCTGCTTCAAGCAGGTTTGGTTTGAGAATACAAGTCATGCTTGAAGCGAACAAAAGCCCATCAACACAGGCCCTTACATTTGCTGTCTTTCTGGCTGCCTTAATAATATGTTACCTGGTGGTGCATAAGCCTTGGTTCACACTGAATACAACTTTGAATTTGTGCGACTTTACTTGAAATCGCGCAGTTTCAAAGTCATATGTCAGTAAGACACCTGCAACTTCATGCACAGATGTCAATGCAAGTCGCACCAGAAATCGGCAAAAGTTATTCAATAACTGCTTTTCAAATCGGTGAGACTTTGACATTGGCCGTTAGAATCATTGCAACTCCGACTTTGCCGATTTAGAACGGTTCCGTTGCCAATCATAGGGTGCGATTTGCCATACGATTTGATGCTGTCAAATCGCATGATAAGTCACATTTGTGTAAACCAGGTCTAATACTATCAGAGCCTTTTAGTTTATAGGAATGTCAGCAATTGTGCTTAATGCTGCAGTGTTTACTGCGGAAGGCAGCATGTGTTTATCAACATGAATACAGGCAGTTGTCCAGGAAGAAGCTCTCAGATCTCAGGGGGGGCATCTTGGGTCCAATAGTCTACATATTTCTATAATACACCTTATATAATGAGGTCAATATAAATCTTTCAAAGGCATTAAAAAAAAAAAAAAAAGATTCCGTGTTCAGATTCCTCCAGAACAGAATGATTGCAGTATGAAGGTGTTTAGTCTAGTTACAGCACCTTTACAATCTCCTCATTCAGACAAATGGTTATACAGTGTCTGCAAGGGAAACTAACAATGGATTCTTTTTTCCTTTGCTCTAGTGAATACCTTCAAATGCTGATGCCTCCCAGTGTTGAAGAAGAAACGTAAGCATTTTTTTTTTTTTTGCAAGATTCGTTGTTTTGCAGTCATTTCAACTAACAAAAAATAATTGAAGTGCATTGCTTTATGTGCCTTTTTTATTATGTGTATATATATATAATCTCCATATGCCAAAGACAGCAATGAAAACCTGGCTGGCTTCAATTCTAGTAATCACTTGGTTCCAAAGCCTATTCTGATACTTCTCACACAAAATCAGCTTTTTTTTTTTTTGCTAGAAAACTACTACCCAAACATATATTTAAACAGAGGTCCTAGAGAATAAATTGGTGGGTGTTGCAATTTATGTCACAGGGTATTTGCGCAGCGATTTATTTATTTTTCAAATGCAAATTTCTTGGAAAAAGTACACTTTAGGAAATTTTAAGGCACAAAAAACACAATATAATACCCACTTGTTTAGTAAAACATAAAGGATGATGTTATGCCGAGTAAAGAGATACCTAACCTGTCACACTTTAAAATTGCGCACGTTCATGGAATGGTGACAAACTACTGTACTTACAAAAATCTCCATAGGCGGTGCTTTAAAAGCCTTTACAGGTTACCAGTTTAGAGTTGCACAGAAGGTCTGCTAGAATTATTGTTCTTGCTATAACATGTGGTGATATCTCGCGTGTGGTGTGAACACCGTTTACGTACGTATATGTGCGTGACCTACATATGCGTTCACCATTGGGAGGGACAGGGATGGTTTAATTTTTTTTAAAATTTAAAAAAAAAATATACAATTAAAGAGACTGTAAAAATAAAAAATTAATTATATTTATTGCTTTCACAAGGGATAAACAACAAGGGTTGTGATAGCCATGGGCAGTGACAAATTCTCTTTACTGAGACATCTCCTCTGCCCTTAAAAGAATCAGATCAAACAGATCAGTGTGAGCAGATGCTTTCACAAGCTGCTAATGGCCTGTTTACATGAGGCCGAAACCAGAAGGGACAAAATACTCATCCTTTCCAATTTCTTATACTATACGGATGGCTGTGTATGTTCCGGTCCTCTGTCATCTCTATGGTAAGCCGGTGGAACTGCTGGCTTCAGTCCCTGACTCCCCAGTGGGACAGGAGAGCCCGTGAAGGTGACTGGAGGGGGTGGACCCCTTTCTGCCACATGTAAAAGTGATCCAGAGCTATTTAGCTGCTTGGATTACTTTTACATTATTCAGCTTCGCTAGCGGAAATGATTAATACCCTGGTCATGTCTGCAGCTGCAGCGATGGCCCCGTTATAACCCCTGAAACGCAAGGACATATGGGCACATCCATTTGAAGGAAGCGCTTAAAGAAAAAAAAAGTTTTGACTGGAGTTTTACCTTGAGTCCGTTCTCAATATTTAATTTTAACCTGCATATCATATTTGTTACAGAACAGTAATTGCATTATTTTTTAATGTAATGAAAGGTAAATCACAACATTCTAACTGTAAATGATCATGTCATTTTTTTCCCTACAGAGAGAAGCCTGTTGCACCTAGCAATGTCTTGTCTATGGCTCAGCTGAGGACTCTGCCATTGGCTGACCAGATCAAGATTCTGATGAAAAATGGTACATGCAGGGTGGTGATTTTACATTTCAGAGAGAGTGCTAAATGTAAAATGGCAGAAAAGAGTATTGTCACATTATAAGATAAATGCTGTTTTTTTTTTAATAGAAATAGAAGGGACAATGTAAATTAAACACTGCGAGTTTTCATATCAGTTTTAAGGGAATTTACAAAGACTGGAGCAGATGCACATGACACAACCAGCCAGCTTCTAGCTTTCATTTTCACTGCTTAACTGAACAAACTAAAGCTAGATGCCAATTGGTTACTGTACACAGTTTCTACTGTTTTTTGTAAATTCTCCCCACATTGAATTTCAATAAAATAGTGCAAATAGCAAAGTAATGACAGCAACCAATCAATTAATTTTGTAATATTTTGTTGTGAGCAAAGAGGTGCGTGACCAGTTGAAACCACTTACTGCACTTTGCTCTTTGACTTTGCACAAAATATTTAGTAAAGCCAAAAGGCTTTGTCTGTCACATACACGTAACAGATATGGATGTATTTGAGTGGTATAACATGTTCCACTTTCCTTTTTTTTTCATCAATACAGTTAAGGTGATACCTTTTGCAAATCTCATGGGCTTAATGGCAGCAGGAACAGAATCCATTACAGTTCTTCGATGTATACAGCAGGTGGCGTTGTTGGTCCAAGGGAACTGGGTTGTTAAAAGGTAATTTATTTTCTGTTTAATGGAATCTTGTCTGCAACTAAAATTTTTCTGGATGTCTTTTTAGGGACTTATAAAAAGAAACAAAAAAAAGAGTGAATGGAACAATTTATGGTAGTCTTTGAACAGAAAGTGGATTACTGTGAGTGCTGACAACTGTCAAAACAGGCTTACCTTTCTCAGCACAGAATTAAACTCTGTATACTCAGTTTGCCAGTTTATGTGCCAGTTGTCAGGCTTACTTTCACAAAATATGCCACAATTGCTGAAGAACAGTTTCAGAATTGGCGAGTTCTGTCTGAGACTGTGAATTAACTGATATGAGTGCAAAAGTGTTGAACTGTCTTTGATAAATGGAGTGAATGGTGAGGCAAACGATGTACATAAAAAAAAAAAAAATATAGGACATCACAGTTCACGCAGAGAAAACTATGCCTCTTTTCATAGCATTCTCTGTTAGCATCTTACTACAAATAGTTATAATACCAAAGCTGACTATAATCGCAAATAATGTAATAACAATGAATCAAAAATAGTTTTCCAGTGGCCTGTAAACTTAAAATTTCCCTTTTAATTTATGTTTACAGAGAACGCTGCCAAATATGAACTGTTTAGTGATTAAAACCCCACCTATTCATAGATCCGATACTGCTTTAATTTGTCTTTTGAGACCCAGTTATTTTTTCAGGTTCTGCAATCTTGCATCTTACACATCCTTGAGGAGTTGACGCCTTAGTGTCAATCAGTGTGCATGTATTAGACACCTCTGTCCTTATGGTGACAGTGATTAGTCTGGATCTATTAAACAAAAGAAATGTATAATTTTAGTGTGTGGAACTGTTGTTGTATCAGCTGTACCACGATTTGTTTACTGATTTAATGTTTTCTTTGGTTTCCTTTCCTGTCCAGTGATGTGGTGTATCCAAAGGAATCATCAAGCCCACATAGTGGTGTTCCAGCAGAAGTTCTATGTCGGGGAAGAGATTATGTTGTAAGCGTTCATTAGAAGCAGTGCAATGCTGTACAAATTTCAGTGTGAACAGGACAAAAGCTTGTGTATCCAGATTGCTGTTTATATGTTCAGGTTTGGAACTGATGACAGTTGCACGGCTGCTTTCCTTGCTGCTCTGTCATGTGCAGCCTTTATTTTGTGCTGTTGATATGTGTGTGGTATGGGCTTAGACAAGCATGTTTCTTTCCCCCTAGCCACTGAAACTTCAGCACTGTCTATTCAGAAGTTAGAGGAGGTTTACTAAAGACTGAAAACACATAGCACCTCCAAACAATCTGATAGCTCAAACTTGGGTTGTGGTATGCCAATAGCATAGCCAACCTCTTGAGCACCATTACATTTTAAGTAATGTGCTCCTGCAGTGTTACAAGCTGTAATGCCTTGTACCTGACATTAGTATTTCAGAAATCTAACCTTGTGCGTTCCTAGCAGACATCTTTCAGTGTTAGATTGCTGTTATACATGTCAAAGTATCTCTGCAGTGCTCCTGGAACCTTAAGCGTCCAATGTGTAAGTATGGACTTTTCGGAACGTTGAACATAAGAACAGTTGATTGTGGTATGTTCACAGATGGTCTCTGATGCACCTACATTGCATTGTGAAATGCTTTGCCTAGTGTAAAACTGGAAGTGTTGCTTCTGACAGGTGAAAGAACTATACTTTTCTTAGGTTTGTCAAAAACATTCTCAACCATATGTGTAGCACATCCAGAAAGTATAATGAAAACATTTTTAATTTTTATATAATTTTGTAGATGTGGAAGTTCACTCAGGATCGGTGGGTCGTAAGGAAAGAGGTGGCTGCTGTGACAAAGGTAAGACTTGTGAGCAATCAATGTTAATGCCTTCTAAGGCCCCTTTCACATGAATGGTCCGATCTGGTCCACCTGTCAGTTTTTCCGACGGATCTGATTGGGGACCCTTCATTCACCCTTTATGGACTGGCGGGTGTAAACGGACTTGTTTCACAGAACTGTCATCCGCCTGCTCTGCTCAAATCAGCAGGGAATCAGCCTACCGTTCCCCTGCTGATATAAACTCAGCCTGTGTGAGCCTATGTGAAAGGGGCCTAAACAATAAAATGCATTGTTTTCTTTAGGAAAAAAAAAAAAAATATATACATTTAGTTGGTAAATTGCATAAGCACTTTTTTATTTATTTTTTTTAAGATAAAGCAAGCTTGGGTCTCATGTAGTTTTGTGTGACTGAGAGGGACATTAGATTACTAGGATTTGTAAACACCATGGCAGTTGACAGGCATTTTGTATGTAGGTATGAATTCCCCCACAGTGCAAGGACTTTTGTGTACACAGGCGAAAGTGCATTTTAACACCCCCCAATCCTCTAGCCACTTTGCACTGGTACTGCTAGACCCCCTCTCTCCTCCAGCCACCCCACACTGGTACTGCTAGACCCCCCTCTGTCCTCCAGCCACCTCACACTGGAATTGCTGTACTGCCCCCCCCCCCCCCCCCACATCCAGTGTCCTTGCTGGTACTCCCCCGAATGGCTGGGGATTTTGATTTTACTGCCCCCTCCTGGCACCCTGAGGTGGCTGATGGCAGCAAGCATGGTCTGGGGATGGGGTCCCTTTCCCCAGGCGAGGTGGGGTCCCTGTCCCCAGCAAAGATGGAGTGGGGTATGGGATGGTGTATGGGGGAGATGGCGTCTTCTCATTCACCATGACCAAGCTGCTGGGTGGAGTTGTTGGAATGCGGGTACTAAATCCCAGCCAGTATGGTCTGGCTGTGCCACCCATGTCCACCTGGCTGTCGGTGAGAAAGTATACTGCTCTGCAGCTGGCCGCCCTCTCTCCAATCACTTATCCATGGTTGCTTGGGCTCCCTCCAGCAGTACAGACAGAGCAATCAGTATGGGAAGATGCATTCTCTGCTCCATAGAGAGGGAGATTTGTGTATGATGGGAGGGAGGAGGGGGGGGCCTGGAAGACAAGCCTGTGGTGTCCTAAGGGGAGCCGGCTTTATTAGGGTTGCTCCTATGTGCTAGAAGATCTTTTGTCCAAGAGCTCTGTACAAAGGAGGCAATGGAGGTTACTGGGTTGGGGGTGGGACTCTGGTTGGGAGGACATTGAATTGAGCGGTGTTGTATGTGGCAGGAGAGAGGGGCCGGCCGAGGACACAGGGGATATGAGACTGAGTAGCAGCCAGTGCGCGAAGGGCATGGAGCTGTGATACCCACCCCCGTCCTAAAGCCACCCAGGCGCTGGTATTGCTACCCATCACCCACCCAGCTGCCTATGCTGCCTGCGTACAGGGGAACTGCATGGGCCTCCTTCAGCTCGTGGCCGGGTTGCAGTAACGACCCCTGTAGCTACGCCCCTGCTTAGTGCTCTGTATTGAGACAAGTACACACTATAGAGGGATATGCTTTGTTCATATTTCATGTCTTTACAACCACTTTAAAAGACATATAATGTGTTAATGTTTTAAAAAAACATTTTTTGTAAAATGTGCAATTACGTTTGTAAATCAGAGCAAAAATTCTGTTTATGTATAACAAATGCTGACTCTGTTCTATGCTTTGGGATGCTTTACACAGTGGTTGTGATTTCTTACTCCTTCTCACAATGCTAGACTATGTTGGCTGACTGAAAGGAATGCATTCCCTGTGTGTTGAATATCATATTTCGGCAAAGTAATTGTCCTGAACCCCTGGTGGCTAATCTACAAACCTCTATAGTTAATACAATAATAAAACTATGGAAGAGCAAATTTTCAAAACTGAGTCACATGATTTACTCAAGGTAAACAATGTAATAACTCAAATATGCAAGCATTGAAAATACACTATACTTGACATTAATGTAGTGAGAAGGGCAGGCAAGGATGTAAACAAATTTTAAAGGGAAATTTGGCTGTGTACATAATTTTAGCTTCCTAGGTGTCAAAAATTGATTGTTTTGACATGTCACTGAAAACACCACTGCATATGCATCTTCTTGCTTGAAATTGTACTTGCTTGCATAAACTCCTCCTGCTGATGCTTTAAAATAGCACTTTGATAATAAAACATTTTCTGCTAACCTTTTAAAGTGTATGTAAACAAAATACAATACATTGCAGAGTAGCTGTCCTTGAATGCGATGGTTGCATTAGTTTTATTTAACCACTTGCCCTCCTGAGGATTTACCCTCCTTCCTGGCCAGGCCATTTTTTGCATTACGGTACTGCATTACGTTAACTGACAATTGCGCAGTCATGCAACGCTACACCCAAATGAAACTTATGTCCTTTTTTCCCACAAATTGAGCTATCTTTTGGTGGCATTTGATCACCTGTGCATTTTTTAATTTTTTGCACTGTTAGAAAAAAAAAAAACTACACTATTTTTTACTTTTTGCTATTAAACATGCCCAGTAAAAAAATTTAAAAAATCAAATTTCGTATTAAATTTAGGCTAAAATTATGTGTTCTGCTACATGTCTTTGCATGTCTTTTTTACTAGTAATGGTGTAGATCAGCGACTTATAGCGGGACTGTGGAACTGTGGCGGGCATTCTAACACTGGGGGGAACTGACTTGGTGTCACGGACATCTCCAGTGACACCAGTACAGTGATCAGTGCTAAAAACAAAAGCACTGACACTGTACTAATGGCACTGGGCAGGAAAGGATTAACATAGGGGGGCGATCAAGGGTTAACTGTGTGCTGTTTTACTAAGTGCTGTGTCTGTGTGCTTCACTGTAAGCACACTGCTTTTGAATGGCTGTACTATCCACAGCAGTGTGCAGGAGCTGTCAGGGAGGAGAACTGTTTTGTTTACAAACAGTACTCCTCCCCATCGGAGATGCTCAGCAATCTCTGAATAATCACCGGCCGGGACACAGTGATTGATAGCTATGGCTGCGAATGGCGGCGCGGGTTGGGAGCACGCGTGCCCCCTACCCAGAACTGCAAAATCACGTGTGTGTGTGTATGTGTGTATATATATATATATATATATATATATATATATATATATATATATATATATATATATGTGTGTGTGTGTGTGTATATATGTGTGTGTATATATATATATATATATATATATATATATATATATATATATATATATGATTTTGCGCACCTGTGCCACCTTGTAGTAGTATTGCTACTATAAGGCGGTCGGGAAGCATTTAATCAGGAATTTTCCCCCTATTTTCACCTGAAGATACTACCTGTCCTAAGGTGACAAACACATTCACTCACTGTACTGTGTTTCTGTATTCATTGTCACCCTGTGATAGGAAGTATTTTAAGTATGTTAGCACTGCAGAACACCCCACTTACAAAAGATACCTCCAAGGTACTATAGTAACCAGTAATTTTTAAGATAACTATGGTCTACTTGAAGAATGTCTAAAGGTCACTTATACTTTAAGCAAGAGTGGAGAGGGATTAGAACCTCTCAGGTTTTTATTGTTGTCTATGCCCCTGTTAGGGGAATTCACCCTCTTTATTTGTCTGTTTACCATTATCACTATAAAGCCAAAAAAACCTGCGTTTGGTGTCAAGACTGCTGCTCCCACTACAGTCATGGCCAAAAATATTGACACCCCTGTATTTCCGTCAGATAATGCACCAGTTCGTCCAGGAAATCGTTACAATTACAAATGTTTAGGCATTCTCATGTTTATTCCTTTTGTTTATGTGGAATGTGTCAGACTTGGATTTTTGTTTCTCTATTTTTTTGTGTCATTCCAATACAAAGCCCCAAAAATAGACTGGACAAAATTTAATGGCACGTTCTCAAAATTGTAAGAAAAAATTGCATTCCAAGTTTGTGATGCTCCTGTAATTTGTAATTAAACTCACCTGTATCAATTAACAGGTGCTGACAATATAGAGATTACACTGGAAACCAGTTAAAATGGTGAAACATTGACTCAACCTTTCCGTTGTGTGTCTCTGTGTGCCACATGGAGTATGGAGAAGAAAAACAGCAGCAAGGAATTGTCTGAGGATTTGAAAACAAAAATTGTGGAAAAGCATGGACAATATCAAGGTTACAAGTCCATCTCTAGAGATCTTAATGTTCCTGTGTCCACTGTGTGCAACATTGTCAAGAAGTGTACAGCACGTGACACTGTAGCTAATCTCCCTGGACATGGACAAAAGAAAAATTTGTTCAAAGATTGCAAGGAAGGATTGTTCGAATGGTGGATTAAGAACCTCGATCAACTTCCAGACAAATTCAAGCTGACCTTCAGGCACAGGGTACTGTGTGTGTCAGTTCACGCTATGTCACCATCTAAATGAAAAGGAACGCTATAGTAGGAGACCCAGGAGGACCTCACTGCTGACACAGAAACATAAAAAAGCCAGATTGGAGTTTGCAAAAACTTACCTGAGGAAGCCAAAATTCTTTTGGAAGAATGTGCTGTGGACAGACAAAACAAAATTACAGCTTTTTTTGATAAAGCCCATCATTCTACTGTTTTCAGACAAATCGATAAGGCCTTTAAAGAAAAGAATACAGTATCTACAGTCAAACATGGTGGAGGTTTACTGGTGTTTTTGGGGTTGCTTTGCTGCTTCAGGCACTGGATGTCTTGGCAACGTGTATGGTATTATGAAATATGAAGACTAGCAAAGAATTCTGATGTGCAATGTAGGGCCTAGTGTCAGAAGGTTTGTTCTCTGTCAGAGGTCATGTGTCTTGCAGCAGGACAATGACCCAAAGCACACGTCAAAAAGCACCCAGAAATGGTTTCTGACAAAGCGCTGGAGAATACTGAACTGGCCAGCAATGAGTCCAGATCTCAATCCCATAGAGCACCTGTGGAGAGATCTCAAAACAGCAGTTTGAAAAAGGAACCCTTCAAGTCTGAGAGACCTGGAGCAGTTGGCGAGTGGTCCTAAATTCCAGAAGTGAGGTGTAAGAAACTCATTGATGGTTACAGGAAGCAATTGATTGATTTCAGTTATTTTTTTCCAGAGGTGTGCTAACAAATATTAAATTGAGGGTGCCAATAATTTTGTCTAGTCCATTTTTGGGGTTTTGCATGGAATGTGTCAGATTTAGCTTTTTTGTTTCTCCACGTTTTTGTTTCATACTAATACAAAGAAATAAATATGAGAACACCTAAACATTTGTAATTGCAACAATTTTTTGGGAGAAGTGGTACATTAACAGAAATGCAAGGGTGCCAATGTTTATTGCCATGACTGTATATGTGAATATGTGAATACAAAATAAACATAGACTAGAAAACAACAATGGTGCGTTGTCTCTTTAAATTAAAAATTTATTATATATATATATATATATATATATATATATATATATATATATATACACACATATTAGTCAAAGTGCTAATAAACGATATTGCCAAAAGTATTGGGCCACCCCTCCAAATCATTGGATTCAGGTGTTCCAATCACCTCCATGGCCACAGGTGTATAAAATCAAGCACCTAGGCATGCCGACTGCTTCTACAAACATTTGTGAAAGAATGGGTCGCTCTCAGGAGCTTAGTGAATTCAAACATGGTACTGTGATAGGTTGTCACCTGTGCAATAAGTCCATCCGTGACATTTCCTTGCTACTAAATATTCCACGGTCAGGTGTTAGTGGTATTATAACAAAGTGGAAGCAACTGGGAACAACAGCAACTCAGCCATGAAGTGGTAGGCCACGTAAAATGACGGAGAGGGGTCAACGCATGCTGAAGCGCAAGTGCGCAGAAGTCGCCAACTGTCTGCAGAGTCAAAAGCTAAAGACCTCCAAACTTCATGTGGCCTTCAGATTAGCACAACAGTGCGTAGAGAGCTTCATGGAATGGGTCTCCATGGCCAAGCAGCTATATCCAAGTCTTACATCACAAAGTGCAATGCAAAGCCTCGGATGCAGTGGTGTAAAGCATGCTGCCACTGGGCTCTAGATCAGTGGAGACGTGTTCTCTGGAGTGATAAATCACGTTCCTCTGTCTAGCAATCCGATGGCCGCATCTGGGTTTCGCGGTTGCCTTGAGGACGTTACTTGCCTGACTGCATTGTGTAAAGTTTGGTGGAGGGGGATTATGGTGTGGGGCTTGTTTTTCAGGGGTTGGGCTTGGCCCCTTAATTCCAGTGAAGAGAACTCTTAGGCTACGTTCACACTAGCATTGTGTGCAGGCGGCAGAGAGGCGTTTAGGAAGTGTTTTTACCGCTTCCCAAACGCCTCGGACAATTCTGCACATTGCAGCACATAGTGCTGTTCTAACGGGAGCGTTAGCGTTGCGTCGCAACGGACTCCTCTAGTCGAGTCAGGAGGCGTTGAAGCCTCCTATTCTAGTCTATGGTGCCGCTCCGCAAGCGGCCGGTGTTTGCGTTGCGGGGCGTTTGCCGAGCGGTAACACCATTCAAACTTCATTATAGGCGTTTGTGGGGCATTTTTAACTCTCAGCAAACGCCGGAGCAACGCTTGCCAAACGCTATAGGGGCGATTGGCAAGCATTGGTAAAACAGTCAAGTGTGAACGAGCCCTAAAGGCGTTAGCATACCAAGACATTTTGGACAATTTCATGCTCCCAACTTTGTGGGAACAGTTTGGGGATGGCCCCTTCCTGTTCCAACATGACTGCCCATCAGTGCACAAAGCAATATCTATAAAGACATGGTTGAGCAAGTTTGGGGTGGAGGAACTTGACTGGCCTGCACAGAGTCCTGACCTCAACCTGATAGAACACCTTTGGGATGAATTAGAGCAAAGACTGTGAGCCAGGCCTTCTCATCTGACATTTGTAATTGCTATAACTTTCACATGTGCTGTTTTACTGTGTCAGCACATTGCTTTGTATTGCTCTGCTACGCAGAGCAATACAAAGCAGTGTGCAGGAGCTGACAGGAGAGATTTGTATTGTTTATATACAGACCTCTCTCCCGTCGATGATACTCGTCGATCGCTGGGTGCCGGCAGGGAATCACAGGCCAGGACCTGATGATTGACAGCTGAGGTCGCCAATGGCGGCGCGCCCCTTACCCGAAAATGCAAATTCACGTGTATATATAAGTGATTTTGCGCAGCCCTGCCGCCCTGTAGCACTATTTCTGCTATCGGGTGGCAGGAACCAGTTAAAGAGACAGCACTATATTTGTTTTCTCCTATTATCACCCAAACTAAAAGAAAAACCCTAATTTTGGGTTGCCACCTGAGAGGCTATAGAGGGGAAATCTTTCAATGAGGACACTAGCTTCAGTGACCCTGATGACAAGCAAACAGTCACTCATTTTGGGAGGATTTTCTCTTCCTGTTTTGACTGTGGGATAGGAAGTGCAGGGAAATCTCCACAGTGGAACACACATGGCAAAAAAACCCTGACTTTTGTTATTACTCTCCCTTATGCCATCCAAAATGGGGAAAAAAAAGTTTTGCCTGTTTAGTTCTACTTTAAGAGAAGATTTTTGCTTGGTTGTTCTAGCATAATGCAGTTTTCACAAACTGTTCCCTTTAAACGAGGCTGTAAGTTTCCAGAGCTTTGAGAAGCAAAACTTGTCACTTATTCGACTCTAAAGCAGTACATGAGTGTGAAAGAAAAAAAAAAAAGGAAGGAAGAAAAGTTGATGACTTTTTCTTGTAGCTTTGCCAAGAAGATGTGAAGGAATTCCTGGATCATATGGCCATCCCCAGAATCAACAAAGGCTGGGAGTTCATGTTGCCTTACGATGAGGATTTTATGAAGAAGCACCCTGATGTAGTTCAAAGGCAGACAATGCTGTGGAAGGGAATACAAGCCAAGTATGTACTACAGAAGCATTCCATACAAAATGCCTAAAGTATATTTCACTGGTATAAAGTGATGTTTTGCTTGCTGATATGTCTGTATGAAGATATCTTTTAGGGAAACATGTCTTGACGTACATTTATATGGCTGCAATTGCTCACCTGCATATGAAAAGGCTGCTTGCCTGGGTGCCCTGCTGGTCTTCTGAGTTACTGACCTTTGACACGAATGCAGCAAAGTCAGAATGCTTATACTGTGTGATTGTTATGGGTCTGTAATTCAATATTGAGAGTAACAAAGTCTCTCATTATAGGTTTCTTTACTAGAGTAAAGCAGTTTCAGATATTGGCATGTGGCATTTTTAAAAGGGTGTTTCCTTTTTTAAACTATATTTAAATATTCAATTCATGCTGTGAAGGACTATAGGTGTCATTTGTCCTTCACGTTTCCCTTGCTGCTTAGTGGTGCTGTGACAATCTTATTTCACAGGCTATTGGAGCTTGTCTGTGCTAATATGATGATATTTGTGTGAACATAATACTGGACAAACAGGCAGGACCATTTATAAGCAGAGTGTTCCTAATTAATTAAGTCTTCACTAATAAGTTCAATAAAGCTGGCCATACATAGATCAGTTTTTTTTTTTTTCAATCAGCCCCCGGGATGATCAAGGGACACTGAACAGATTCCCCCATCCATACAAGCAAAGTGAATGGATGAATTTTCTCCAGTGTTTATTGTGTTTTGACCACAGGGACTCCTCTGCAGTCAGAATATGCTGGTCAGTCAGAAATTTCCAAGAAGCAAGTTCATGAAAAGTTGACCATTAGATTGACTTTTCACAAGCAGGAATGGCCATCGATTGGTTGCAATTTGGCTTGTCCTTGTAAACCAGAAGAATTTTGATCCAGCTATGGCCAGCTTTAGATTCTTCCCTGCATGTGATATGAGCACAATAGAAGAAAACTGGAAGTCAGTGTGTCTGTGCTTCTTGATGGTCATCTTAAAGCGTGACTCCATTGTCTCCTCTTCTGATCCCCACAGCTTCCACTCAAAGTCCCACAGACAGTGGATACATATATCTGCAGAGACTTTGGGTTGAAGCTTCAGGGGAACATTTAAAAATAAATAAATAAATCTATCCCTGATTTGTGCTTGGCATACATGTACATAAATGGTGTTCTTCCATATTTTTGTAAGATGTGAGCAGAGTATTTAAAAAACCATATATACGAAAGCTAAAATCTTTTTTTTTTTTTTTTTTTTAAATAACATGTCATACCTATTCTGTGTAATGGTTTTGCACAGAACAGCCCGGATCCTCCCCTCAGGTTCCCTGCCGGTGCTCCTGTCCCCTCCCTGCTGTGGAGTGCCCCCACAGCAAGCAGCTTGCTATGGGGGCACCTGAGCACTGCACTCCCAAGCCGCGGCTCATTGGCTGTGATTGACAGCAGTGAGAGCCAATTACTTCTCTGTTGCCTCAGCCAGTCAAGGATTGAGAGACCCTGGAAATTTAGGCTCTTGTAGACATCGCTGGATCGGGCTGGGACTCAGGTAAGTGTTGGGAGGCTGCTGCACACAGAAGGTTTTTTTCCTCCATGCATAGAATGCATGAAGGTAAGAAACATTGTGCCTTTAGAACACTACTGCGACCTGAAAGCCACACAACTTACAGCGTGACTTTGCCAGGTGGCTTCCTGGCGATTTGCTGGTGACTTGACGCATCTTTAGTACAACTTTGATGCAGCCTGATGTGCGATTTTCATGCCATGCAACTTTGGCTGAGTAATCTTCCTGTAATTTCAGATCCAAATCTTATTATTATACAGGATTTATATAGCGCCAGCAGTTTGTTCTGCGCTTTATAAAATAAAGGAAGACAATACAGTTCAATACAAGAGGGTTAGGAGGGCCCTGCTCCTTGGAGCTTACAATCATATCAATATAGATGAGCATCCGACTTAGAGGCGACTTCCATTGAAGTCCATGAGCACAAGTTGGATAGAAGTCACCTTGAAGTAGTACAGGAGCCTTTTCTAAAGTCGGAATGACTTCAGTAGGGCGAATTAAGACAATTCTCATTGATTAATATGGGATTTCACATGTGATGCGACTTGGGGTCTCACAAGTCGGATCCCAAGTTGCGGCATTGTGAACCCGAGCCTAAGAAGTGGGCAGCAGAGGAGGGGGAGAGAGAGAAAAGGGGAAAAAAAGAAGAGATAAAAATAGGGGTGGGGGGGGGGTGGAGCATAAAAGGGGGACTAAGGGAGAACAAACTGGAGCCCTAAAATATCTGATCTTTACTGGGATGGGGCCTGTGTGGCCAGGGTGGATATGCAAGGGGCATAGTCCTAGACGTGGCTTGCAATTTAATACGGTATTTGTTTTTATAATACTGTACTCTTTGTAAGCATAACAAGGTTTTGTTTCCCTAAAATCATGAATGAGCAATGAACTAAAATCAATTGGTTTAATTTCTTGGCTTACTCTTGCAGTGTTTATCAGATTAAAAAGGAATTTAATTGAAATCTTACTAAAGCAGATTTGGCACACTAAGTACCTGGCCAATGAAAAGCATTTTATTTTTTTTTTTAATTGGCCACGTTGTGTTTAAAAGATGTTTTTCTGCATGCAAACACCATTGCTGGTAATAAACCTACAATGCTGAACTCAATACATATTCTTTAGCATAGTGCACATCATCTGTTGTAACTCATTAAGGTTTTGTCATTACAAACCCAATAGAATATTACTTGCATGTTCTTATTTGTTGTTCAAAATTTCCTTTAGGCTTGAGAAGGTTTTCAACTTGTCAAAGGAAGGTGTGATGCCTAAAAAGACAGATGCATCTTCAGGTAATTTTAGAAAAATTATTCAGACATTCAGTAACCAGGGCAGCCAAAATGAATCTTTCAGTTTTGGGCAATTTTGGTAGATTGAATTCACAGTTCAGCCCACCTGCTTTTGACATCGCCATCTGTTTTTTTTTTTTTGTTGTTTTTTTTTTTGTTTTTTTTACATTACTGGAAGTGGAAATGGGGAGGGGGCTTTCAAAAGGCAACACACCATGAAACAGTGGGCCAGTGGACAATTTAGTCCAACAGTTTCTACCCATATTTGAAAAAAATCTGTTTTGGATTGACTAGTTACAGTAATAAAAGCAGATCGAACTTGTGCTGACTGTCGTACAAGATATTATTTTCCCCACAATCTGATATTCACCAGTCATACGTATAGCCTTTTTGGTGGCTGATTGTTAAAGTATGACCTAAACTTTATCTGTGATCCAGAATGTCCTAAAACACAGATGTAGATATACGCATGCTGTAAATTCAGTTCTTGTCCTCTTATCATATCTTATCTTGATTGTGGCTTTTTATTGACTTCCCTTTATACACTTTTTATGCCTCCACTGTTATCCAGCAGAAAGATAGAGGAAAAGATTTTTATAGGTTAACTAAATGTTTTGGGTTTTTTTTTAGAAAGTAATCCTACCTAAAGCATTGCTGCTGTAGGTTATATGAAGTGCTGATTACATGTGGAATTGTAGACTTTAAAGTAAACCTGTCCCCATCTCCTCATCAGCACATAACTTTTCCTCACTTGCCTGTCGCTCCGACCTCCGTCAAGTGTCCAGAACAGAGACAGTACCCAGTACTTCTAGGAATGGAGAAGCATGTGATTCACTCTTCTTCCTTCCATCTTAAAGTGTTGGTGTTTGCATTTCATACCAGGGGACAATAAAGCAAGCCTATTTTGCCCTGCATAGTTAAAGTACATCTTTATTTTGACATGTAACTAGCTCTGAGGCCCCGTTCACACTTGAGCATTTTGTAGCTTGTAGTTCGAGCCTCAACAACGCTCAACAAGTAAAAAAACTATTGTTTTCAATAGCCCTTGTTCACATTTGAGCGTTCTTTCACTTGTAGCAAAACGCCTGTCGCTTAAGGTACATGAACTACTTTTCAGGCAGAATTGAGCGTTTTTGTCCCCATAGACATTAATGGAAACACCTAAAAAATACAACAAGATTAACATTTCACTTTAATGAACTAACTGGCTTCTTACCTAAAATCATTGGGCTTTAAGGACTTGATCACCTTCTAAACTGTTAAGTTCCATGGTAGGTTAAGGTGATTATGGTCACAATGCTAATTTTTTCATTAATTTCTGTGATATGTGTATTGTATCTTCAACAGCTCCATATACGGTGATCTCTGGGGACCAGGTGGTGAATATGGCAAGAGTCAAGGCCAAGGAGAACCAAGCCAGGTTGGAGAAGGACTTGCAGCGGAAGAGAGAGCAAACCAAGCAGACTTCCCATGTGGCAGTTGTGGCTGATGTCCATATTAAAGAGGAACCAATGAGTGATGAGGAAAGCATGGACACTTCAACATATGACAATCTGAACAATGGCTTGGTCAATGGTGTCCATACGGATGAAAACTCACACGAATCCGTGAATGGTCCTGTCTCTAAAGGAGACAAAGATTTAATAGCAAAAGAACTGAACGAGTTTGTGGCTTCTATATTTAAGAAGCAGTATGTTTTGACTATGAGTGAACTTAAGCGTTTATTTAATCTTCATTTGGCCAGTCTTCCTCCTGGACACACACTTTTTAGTGGCATCTCAGACAAAATGCTTCAGGAAACGGTTTTAACCTCTGGCTGTAAACAAATCATGGTGCCTGTAAGTATACTCTCTTTTCAAAGAAAACCATAGATGCTGTGATACCATAATGACTGTCAGTTGTTTACCTGGGTTTTATCAGTTGGTGAGATTCCCTTTCAAGGTCTGCTCCGTTCAACTCACAATCCATTTGATTGCGCACTGGGAGTAGTGTTTCCAATATAAGCACTCGTATATTGAGAAGATTGGCCTCATTGTAGGAATGGTGCAAATCCCTATGCTCTGTTGACATCATCTCAGCAGAATTGATGGTGCCATTCATTTGTAGCAAGAATGCATCATTTTTAACGGACGCACTACCATAGAAATTTGTGGCAAGTGGATGGTGCCTTTGGACAGAACTGTTGTTATACACCAGTCATATACACATCTGCCATAACTTTAAGAGCACTCACAGGTAAAATGAATCACATTGATTATCCTGTTACAATGGCATCCAAATGTAGGTGGGAAATATTAGGCAGCAAATAAACATGTTATCCATGAAGTTTACCTGTTGAAAGCAGAAAAATGAGCAACACGGTTTTTGTATGCAGATGCATAGCCACAAACTGGTCAGGGTGCCCATGCTGACTTGAGCATGTGAGCATCAGTACTGGACCACATAGCAATGCAAGAAGGTGGCATGGTCTGATGAATTATGTTTTTTTTTTAATGTCATGTAGATGGCTGGGTGCTTGTGTGCCTCTTGGGGAAGAGATGGCATCAGCATGCAGTATGGGAAAAAGGCAAGCCAGCAAAGGCAGTGTAATGCCTTGGGCAATGTTCTACTGGCAAACCATGGTCCTGCCATTCATCTAGATGTTACTTTGACACATGCCACCTACCTAAATATTGTTGCCGACCAAGTACACCCCTTCATAAAAACTGTATTTCCTGATGCACGGAGGCCCCACCTCCCAACTTACAGGACTCAAAAGGATTTGCTACCGAAGGCTTGTTGTAGGATACCACAGCATACCTTCAGAGATCTAGTGGCATCCATGCAGAAACAGATCAGGACAGTTTTGGCGGCAAAAGAGCAACCTACTCAATTTTAGGTGGTTCATCATAATGTTATGGCTGATCGGTGTACTTTGTGGTCTTGAAAACATTTAATGCCACACAGTACCTAATGTATTCCTTTGGCCCTATCCATCATTTGGGGCTGTGGAACAACTGCACTCTTGAAATTTATGCCACAATCCTTTAAAGAGAGTACTAGGAATTTCAACCTTTTTAACATATGGTCAAGACTTTTCTTGTAACTAAGGGCTCTGTCACACCATAACACGCATCCTGACCTTCCCTGTACTGTGCATCACAGCAACGCACTGCAAATGCGTTTTGTATTGCAAAGGTATTTGCATCCAAGCGCACCTGATTTATGCTTTTTGCTGCATCCAGATGCAAATACTACATTTTACATTGCCCTCTGCTTGCATTGTGCAGGACCTTGTGTTGCCAGGTCATTCTTTTTGAATTGCACTACCTGTTGTAACAAATGAAACTGAGAGTTACATTAAAGTTTGTGTGTGTAAAAAAAAAAAAAGTGTACAGGGAGACTTGACTGAAAGCTATGCAGTGTCAGAAAACTTATGAACTACACAATCAGATTTAATTCCAGTGCCAGACAAACATTTTTCTGTGCTTTTAGACTTCTCTATCAGCTATACAGAAACAAATTATTAAAATATAGAAAGCTGTCCATACATTTCTTATACTGCATATGCTAGATGTAAGTTCTGAGTGAACTATTTAACCTGGTGAATTTTTTAAGGGATTTTGCAGCTTTTCTATACCCAATCTATGAGTTCATTATTGGAAAACAATCAGTTTTCATTCCACATGTGAAATTTTTTTCCCCAGAAATGTATATCTTAATTGTACAGTAAAGGACACGGACAAATAGTTCTCTGACATGCATAGGCTCCTACCCTCAAGTCATTGGAAACTTTTGAGAACACTAAAACTCTACCCTACTCTGTGAGTCCCCTGTTTTGTTCTAATGTCGTAATGTCATCTTCACAGAGAAGCCTCTCTTAGCTTAACTAGTTTATAATTTTCCTTTTATTTATCTTCAGATATTTAATTAACCACTTGCCCTCCAGAAGATTTACCCCCCTTCTTGAACAGGCCGATTTTTGCGATACGGTGCTGCATTACTTTAACTGACAATTGCACGGTCATGAAACGCTGTACCCAAATTAAATTTATGTCCTTTTGTTACCCCACAAATTGAGCTTTCTTTTGGTGGTATTTGATCACCTCTGCGGTTTATAACTGCTCACTGGGGCTTGTAGATCGGTTGGTCTTGTAACATTTCACAGCAGAAGCAATCCTCTGGCGGCAATAACCAGGATCCTCCTGCGCTTTAAAAAGGAAGAGTACCTAACTTGAAGCTGCCAACACTCAAAACTGATACCTAAACAGTATTAAATAATTACATAAATAGTGCAACGCTCATTCACAATTACTATAAAACTAAACCTCTAAATGTGAATAAATACACTCTAAAGTGCAAAAGATAATTCAATATAATGCCAAAATGAAATAATGAATGGGTATTAAAATTAAATATCTAGTGCAAAATAAAGTACCGTATTTTCCGGCGTATAAGACGACCCCCTACTTTTCCTGTTAAAAAATATAGGGTTTAAGCTATACTCGCCGTATAAGACTACCCCTCTTCCAAGGCACACCAAATAAAAATGAAAAAACATCAGATTTGATTTCAATATGGTATGCTATTTCAGTATGGTATTCCAATGATGGGGTGCTATTCCTCCCACTGACACCAATGATGAGGCACTACTCCTCCCACTGATACCAATGATGGTACACTATTTCCCCTCCCACTGACACCAATGATGATGGACACTATTCCTCCCCCACAATGATGATACCAATGATGGGACACTATTCCTCCCACTGACACCAATGATGGTGCCCCATCATTAGTGTCAGTGTGTGAGGAATAGTGCCCCATCATTAGTCAGTGGGAGGAATAGTGCCCCATCATTGGTGTCAGTGGGAAGAATCGTGCCCCATCATTGGTGTCAGTGGAGGAATAGTGTCCCATCATTGGTGTCAGTGGGAGGAATAGTGCTCCATCATTGGTGTCAGTGGGAGGAATAGTGCTCCATCATTGGTGTCAGTGGGAGGAATAGTGCTCCATCATTGGTGTCAGTGGGAGGAATAGCGGCCCATCATTGGTATCAGTGGGAGGAATAGCACCCCATCATTGGTATCAGTGGGAGGAATAGCACCCAATCATTGGTGTCAGTGGGAGGAATAGCACCCCATCATTGGTGTCAGTGGGAGGAATTGCGCCCCATCATTGGTATCAGTGGCAGGAATTGCGCCCCATCATTGGTGTCAGTGGGAGGAATTGCGCCCCATCAGTGGTGTCAGTGGGAGGAATTGCGCCCCATCATTGGTATCAGTGGCGAGAATAGTGCCCCATCATTGGTGTCAGTGGGGAGAATAGTGCCCCATCATTGGTGTCAGTGGGGAGAGGAATAGTACCCCTTCATTGGTATCAGTGGGGAGAATAGTGCCCCATCATTGGTATCAGTGGGATGAATAGTGTCCCATCATTGGTATCAGCGGGAGGAATAGTGCCCCATCATTGGTGTCAGTGGGAGGAATAGTACCCCTTCATTGGTATCAGTGGGGAGAATAGTGCCTCATCGTTGGTGTCAGTGGGGGAGGAACAGTGCCTCATTGTTGGTGTCAGTGGGGGAGGAACAGTGCCTCATTGTTGGTGTCAGTGGGGGAGGAACAGTGCCTCATCGTTAGTGTCAGTGTGGAGGAGGAATAGTGCCCCATCGTTAGTGTCAGTGGGGGAGAGGAGCGGCTGCTCCTTCTTCCAGTTCGGCCGCTTGATTTTCGTGGGGCCGCTCGGCTCCGCCTCCTCGCTGGTGATTGGTCGCCTGTGTGCCTTTCCAGTGCTGGCGCCCAATCACCGGTGAGGAGGCGGAGCCGAGCGGCCGCGTGACCATCGAGCGGCCAAACTGAAAGAAGGAGCAGCCGCGCTTCCTGGACCGGATCGTCGTGGGACCGAGCCAGGTAAGGTACAGCAGCCCCTCTGTCCACCCCTGTACTTAGTGTCCGTTGGAGGAGGAGGGGGGGCGGCGCCGCACCGCACCGCCCCTCGAAAAGTGCCGCCCTGACACCTGGCGCCGGCTCGCACCAGCGTATGACGACCCCCGACTTTTTAGAAGATTTTCAGGGGTTGAAAAGTCGTCTTATACGCCGGAAAATACGGTAACTCATAAAATGTGTATACACACACAAAATGATGTAAACCCCTTTACAAACTAAGGGGATAATCAAAAGTGCTAAAGTGCCAAATAAGTGTCCACACTTTGGGAAAGCTCAAAAAATCAAAAAGTCCATACAGCAAACAATATGTGCTAAATACGTTAATGCAGTGTGCAGTGGTGCTTTATAATTCCGTGACCGTGTCAGCACACTTCTTCTATTACGGCTAAAATGCCTCCTCACCTCCTCCCGGTGACCCCCAGGGGCCAAACAGCTTTCAGGATCACCCTGGATCCTTTCCCAAAAGGGCTGGTAACAATCCTCATGCAGTGGATCTCCTAAAAGGCTCCCGTCGCCCTCTGGTGGCAAGCGCCCGTGTGGCAGAAGTGCAAAATCACATATGTGATTTTGCACAGGAATGCCCTCCTGTAGCAGTAAAACTGCTATAATGCAGATGTTAAGTGGTTAATGCCACACTGCTTTCTAATGCCCCAGGTGGAAGCAGTGCATTCAGATTGGCACAGCCTCTGTAAATCCCTGAGAGCTGTACCCAGACCCTACTTTGTGGGGACAGCCTCTAGTGTTGCACTGGCCACTGGATCATGTGTGGGCACTCACCTCAGCACTTGAGCCCGATTTTAAAGATCTAAATTTGGCTGGTTCATCAGGGATCAGCTGAATTTCGATCATCTTTGGAAATCCTTTGCCTGGTGTGAACACAGGCAATTAAATCCCATAGATTACTCCGTGCCTCACATTCTGGCCTTCCTACAGAGAATGGACAAGAC